CGGGAGAGTGGTCCACCCACGAGGGTGGTTGAAATGGGTCCCCATAGGGTGCACCCCAACAATGTGGGGGGGAAATGACAAGTGTGGACAACTCAGTCCCATGGGGGCACTCATTATGAGCACTCCCATATCACTCCGGTTAAGCCGACTATCTTACCATAGCCGGGGGTTCCAGTAGCTCCCTTGGTAGCGCCCGACCATCAGGTGGCCTAGCGTGCAAGGGAGCTAAATTGTGGAGATGCTCGTGGGGTTCACCGTCAGCCCGCTCGTAAAGATTACGAGCTAGCCTTCGGATGAACTCCTCGAGCGACTCCACATCCAGATCCCGGGCGATTACGTCATTTCTGACGTAACGCCCTATTCCAACTATTGTGCGAAGAGCCAGATTCTGCTGGGCCTGTAACTTCACCCGCATGACCTGCGGGATGAGGTGATACCAGGCCGCAGTTGCGTACGTGATACGGAAACAAACATACGTCTTGTAAATGCCGAGCCTAGTCCTGATCGGCAACCTGGAGGCCAACACCGGCCGGAGGAGAGCCCTCGTACAGCGAGCGGCCGCTCACGCCGATTGAGCGTGGGCGGTCATTCTCAAACTCCGGTCGATATTGACCCCCAGGTACCGGATGCTGGGCCTAAGCTCGACATTGACGCCACGAAGACTGAGCTGTCCTAGGATGACTGTTGTGCGGACCGGACCGAAGAGAATAAATAGTCTTCCCCACGTTGACCGCGACCTTCCATCAGTCCAGCCACTGGGGCAGTAGGTGCAATAGCCTCTGCATCCTCGAAGTGGTCGCAGAGGGGAAGTTTGAGGACGCGAAGTAGGTGCTGTCGTCGGCAAACAGTGCCAACTTCACGTCGACTTCCCACTCCAACAGGGAGGTTGCCCTCGAGAGTGGGGATGTCGTTAGTATAGAGAGCGTAGAGCGGTACCTATCCGTGCGGACTGACAAGAAGTCCTACCACCAGTAAATCCGAGAAAGTACTTAGAGGGTAAATAGCATTCAAATTTCAATGCTATTTCAAATTCAATAATAGACTAAATTAAATAAGGCTTAAAAGGGGAATGAAAAGAGCATTTATTAGTAGGTAACTTGTCGATGATAACTCTCTCTCTCAATTAATCACAATCTTCTAAAGATTTAATATTAACTTTATTTGATAAAAGACTCACAACTGGTATTATTACTTTCTCTGAATTATCTATTATAAAATACAGTGAAACATTAGTTAAGTCAGATATTTTAAAAAATTGAAATTTTAGAGAATTTTTAAAAAGTCAAATAAGAAAAACAAGCTATCAACGAACTTAGCAATTCTAATTTACTTACTCCATAGTAATATATGTACAACGAAAATAATTTTAATGTGCAATTATTCAGTCACGTGCAATTCAACAAATAGAACATCCAGAACGGTATTGTCGTGTGGGTATCGCGGGTATCGAAAAACGTGAAAGACGCCGCATGCGCCCGGTCGTTCCCGGTCACTCACCGACCATGCGCACGATCTTTCCAGAATGTATTCAAAATTCAAAGACAGCGTGACGAACAGAATACATCAATATTAATAGACCCTTTCCAACAGACTACTTAGATATACTACTATAAAATTTAATCATTCTACTTGAGTTACTGACTGGTTTTAAAAGTTTAATTTAAACATCATTCTTCGGTATTCATTAGAAATGTAGACTATTGGTTAAAATATCCGATAATTACTTTCAGTAGTGCGACTGTCTGGCATACCGAGGTTTAATGGAAAGGTAACAATTTGTAAAATCAAATACATGACGTAGTCCGGGCTTTGGGCCCGGGTTGTCCAGAGGCCCAAATCGCGCCCCCGTAACAAGACACAAGGACCCCACAAAATACGTGACTAACGCGTGTTCATGGACCAATTCGACGATATAGTAATAATCATCGGTCTACACACAATCTAGACATAGGCTATAGACTGGTGGTAGGACCTCTTGTGAGTCCGCACGGGTAGGTACCACCACACTGCCTATTTCTGCCGTGAAGCAGTAATGTGTTTCGGTTTGAAGGGTGGGGCAGCCGTCGTAACTATACTGAGACCTTAGAACTTATATCTCAAGGTGGGTGGCGCATTAACGTCGTAGATGTCTATGGGCTCCAGTAACCACTTAACACCAGGTGGGCTGCGAGCTCGTCCACCCATCTAAGCAATAAAAAAAGGGCTTCTCGCAACACTTTAATAAAAAAAAAATAAAAATCGTATTGTTAAAATTCAAACTGCAATTAAAAGTGGACGTGCATGGGATTTTTTTAAACCCCCAGGACTAAGACGGCAGTTCGTTTGTTTCTGCCACGAAGTATTTACACAATCCGCCTTAATGCAAGCAATTAAAATCTTCGACTTTTATCTCAAGGTGGGTGATGGTATTAATATTGTTATATCTATGAGCTCCTGTAGTCATTTAACCCCAAGGTCCTTGTCTCTGGTCCTCCTTTGGAATAAATAAAATGCCAAAATAATTTTTCTTTGATGAATTGTCATAGTCGCGTTGGAAAACGTGCGTACGTGTTGTGTCATTGTCCTTTTCCAAGGATGATAAAATAGAATTTGGTTTCATTTATACATTAGTCCGTATAGGTGATTGTCAGTTCTGCGTAGAATATCATCTTCTTCGGAAACGTTACTCTTTCTTAATTAGGAACAAAACACTTTTAAGTATTATACGATTATGCTATGTCTAAAGCTTTGTTCTTTTCTGCAAAGCAATCGGCGTTAATAAATAGCTATTTTTTTTTTTCCTACCTAAGCTGAGAGCCTTGAGAGGCTATTTCAGCGTAACCCTAATGTTTGTAGGTGAGCTCACGGGGCTCAAACCTGATGACGTTGCTAACACGAACCCTAGCAAGAGCCGTGCTTCGCAGAATCTACCACCGGATCGGAAACGCGACCCACTGAGAAGATCCGGCGAGAAACTCAGTGGGCTGTGTCTGAGAGTTAATAAATAGCAATTTGTCATTTCAGTGCCTCTAATCTCATCAGCATTTAAATAAGGATATAAATCGAATCGTTTGCATTTAATGAAAAAAAGGCACATATATGTTATGTACGATTGTTTGCGATGGGATTCCCATATTTGAATAGAAAAAAAAACGCGGACATTCGTTAAACAAACCGTCTTAAATCACAGAAGTTGACGAACTTTTAAACATGCAACTAGACACGCAATCTCAATTATTACCAGTTTTATGTTTCTACTGTTAGTTCGTATAAAGAGTATTAATCTGCGTGAAAACTTGTATAGGTACTTGTGTACTTGTATTTTACAAGGTAACACTAATTGAGCTAGCTAGGTTCATTTACCAACTGGCTATTGGACCACAAAAGCACCAATAATTAAAGATAATATTGACGACGTTGAGATTTCGATTGTATTTTAGTAACTGCTATTTTGTTTTTCAAACCAGAATTCTGGTGCTGCTGTCGGCCTCACAGTACATACACCACAATACATTTTCTCTGTTCAGTAATATACAAAAAAATTTGAGGACCAGATTTAAAGAAAATATTATTTTTATAAACATTACAATGTGGGAAATCCCAAGTTTCCACAAATATTTAAACAATCGTGCGTCAAAAGGGTACTCGAATACAATACGCTTAAAATAAGGACATAGCTAACTAATATTTACAAATAAAAGAGCTTTGTGTGGAAATACATAATAAGTATTTACTTTTGTTTGAAACACGAACCTAGTCCCAATTGTACGTTCTGGTAATATTTTNATAAACATTACAATGTGGGAAATCCCAAGTTTCCACAAATATTTAAACAATCGTGCGTCAAAAGGGTACTCGAATACAATACGCTTAAAATAAGGACATAGCTAACTAATATTTACAAATAAAAGAGCTTTGTGTGGAAATACATAATAAGTATTTACTTTTGTTTGAAACACGAACCTAGTCCCAATTGTACGTTCTGGTAATATTTTAAGTTTACGTGAAGCTACATATTTATACGAATCGAGTGATTATGGCCTTACGTAAATACATCACAATTCTTTTTTTTTCTCTAATTTGAATCTTCAATCTCTAAATTGTTAGGAAATTCATAATGTACAAGAAAAAGTAAACTTACTAAAGATCCTACTAGTACCTACATAAACTACAGAAAAATCCAGGACAAGAGTGGCAGTGTTAATAAATATGTGATTTATTTAATAAGCCGCCATGATGTTTAATGTATTTAATCTTTTGAAGATCATTTTGACCTATTCAAATTCATTATTATGATTTTCAAACTATTTCCAAATATAATCAAAAACAGAAATGACTGTAACCATAAGCGATATGGCCTTTATTGGCGTAATAAGAAGTTTATAATTAACTTAACCGTCAAATAAAATAATCTCTGGACATTTCTCTGCGGGTAGATGCAAATCAATTTTAAATCACAAAATTGTATTTTTTATGTGGCCAAGAAACAAATATACCTTATTCAACCTTTACTTAATCCGTAGATCTGAATATGCGTGGTGTTAAGTGGTTACTGGAGCCCATAGACATCTACAACGTAAATGCGCCACCCACCTTGAGATACAAGTTCTAAGGTCTCAGTATAGTTACAACGGCTGCCCCACCCTTGAAACCGAAACGCATTACTGCTTCACGACAGATATAGGCAGGGCGGTAGTACCTGCCCGTCCGGACTCACAAGAGATCCTACCACCAGTAAAATGTAACACCAGTAATATAATAACATTAATATTGTATTTTACGCTTCACGCACAATTAAAAATCAGCTAGCGCTCTCCAAGGTCTCGATTGACGTGAAGCGACGTACACCAGCTGCCTTCGAATTTGATTTAACGTTTATGAAATACGAATTCAATAAGAGTGAATGCACGAAAACAGAATGTTTCATATACACGTTTATCACATCAAAATAAATAAAAAAAACAGACAAAGTAAGTTTATAAACACGTTAAAGTTCATAATATTTATTTCTAAACCCTTACCTTGTTTTTTGCTCTATTAAGTTCTTTCTTGTGCTTTTCTTTTCGTATAACTTTGATGGAATTGCGAAACTGAAAAAAAAAACACCTAATTATAAAATTTTATTTCGCACTAAAAGGAAAACCTTATAACACACTTTTGTTAGCTTGATACGTATGTTGTTTCTTTGTATGTAAGAGAATATTTGAACGTCATTTCCACAGACTTCAAGACTTAACTTGAAAATTAGCACACGCATCAAGGACTGATGACCTTCGCTAGAAGTAATAGTGTTCTGTGCTGATGACAATACAATAATTCTATAACTTCGTTCTAATACGCTGACCAGTATCAACCGGATAAAAAAGACGAAATTAATTAATGGTTTGCTATTGAAGGGTGTTTTTTTGTTGTTTTTAGGCTACATATATTTTTTTTGGTTGACAACTGTTTGGATAATGAATGAATACATAGCAAAAATTTTAAAAGGTTACAGAACCGATGTTCTTTCTTTATATCAGCTATGTTATATTAGAACGCATAGCAGTGTAACTTTTGTGCACGCGCTAGGATTTAAAAATCCTTTGTCCAAATCCATAGTACTTATATGTGACCGAACTATTTCAAAGGCTCAACTTACCGCACAGTTGAAACAACTAAACAGTGAGACACGCGTCCCTTCTTCGCCGACTGACCTCGAGATTTCGTGGACCTCACACACGCTGCAGTTAACTGGAATCTGAAACTAACAACTTTACTATCATATCTGAGGCCAGAAGATCTTATATTATAAATAAGTAGTATGGCTTTATTGGTATTAGAAGATATAGTTCCAGGAATCCAGCCTAGCCTCGTGTTAACATTAAATATCCGTTGTAGTAATATTCTCGCTTTACTGTATAAAATCTAGTTGATACAAAATTTAGATCACCCTCTAATTACTAGCTTGAATCTGTTATTAAAACAAAACATAAATCGGATTAAAAATATCGATATCTATGTTTTCCTCAAGAGTATTTTAATCAAAGATTGAACACGTTTTTTTGTCAAAAAGTATCGGTTATAGCGCTTTGAATTTTCGCATCTGTGTGACGCATATTGCATATGGTAGACGTCATGGCCTAAAGGACGAGGTGTCGTATGCTATATCGAACGATGCGATGCGGGAGTTAAACCCAATATACATTAATTCTAAAAAAATATGAGATTTTTCCACGATGCGAAAATAACATTGAATAATAAAACATAAAGCTGCCAAAATTTATGAACTCTGGTATTACGTCAAAAGGTTGTATTATGAGATTAGTAAGACCTATTCTACCTACCTTCTATTCTATCTTATTACTATACGCATACCCTAAATCTGTCTGTCTGTACAAGGTGCATTATATAACTTTAATTATAACCACTGAGATGTCAAGTCCTATGCGCAATAAAATAGGTATCGGGATCCACGACCATCTTCCGATACGGAGACCCTATGATTTCGCCTAGATCGGAGGTCTCTCCAAACTTGTGACAAGGATCATTGGACTTATTGCAGAGACTCAATTCGCGGTAACCCAAGAGCACGCAATGTAGTTGATATTTGATTTGGATCGACTGCCTCATTCACGTCGACATATCCCTTGCCTCTAATTGCAAAGCGGCCAGTCAACTTGTGGTTGGCGGTATTAGTATTCTGGCGGTACCGAAATGACATCCGTAAATAGAATACGGTATAGGTAATACCTTCTACAACGTAAAGTTCATTGACGTACCTATATCTAATTTAACAGCAAAATCTAATTATTTACCAAGTATAATGGGATTTCATCGTTCTTGTATGTTTACAATTAAGTTATAAAAGTTATATAAAATTTATACGTATAAATAATTTTGGGGATTCGTTTTGTACATACAAAAATATTTCCCCTGTTTAGTCCCTCAATAAGCAACGAGTATTTTGATACCATTACGATCCATATCTAGTTTCGATTAGAGCTGCAGTTGTCCTTTTCGTGCACTGTTCGGTTGGTTAGAAAATTGAAAGAGACAGCAACAGATATTTTTAAAGCTATTCCTCAAAAATTTCAGCATAATTGTGCTTCCTCAATTCGCATCATTTCGTTAAACACTAAACATGCAGCAAAATGCTTCTAACACATTAAACTAGGTTTGTTACTTGCATATCGTTACAATTTTATAGCCTTGATAATAAAATAACGCGTTGTGGCGCCCAAGCTGCATGTTTCGAAAAAACTACGACCTTGTTATGTAGCTATAAAATTTTCGTTAATTGTTATTATTATTGTTGCGTTGTTGTGTATAGGTAGGTATATGAATATCGAACTTCCACACATACCTACATAACATTTGTCTTGCCTCTGATCAAAACTGCTCTTATTTGATGGCGATAATAGCTTAGTTTGATTCTAAACTGTGATAATAGTGCGATGTTTTGTGAAGTTGAATGTACTGGTGCATGGCGTCGCGACCTTGTCGATGCACAAGTGGCAACGCGCGCCGCAGTCATCCGGCGCGATTACGTCGTCTGGCCGGTTCTTGCTCGTCACNACATAACATTTGTCTTGCCTCTGATCAAAACTGCTCTTATTTGATGGCGATAATAGCTTAGTTTGATTCTAAACTGTGATAATAGTGCGATGTTTTGTGAAGTTGAATGTACTGGTGCATGGCGTCGCGACCTTGTCGATGCACAAGTGGCAACGCGCGCCGCAGTCATCCGGCGCGATTACGTCGTCTGGCCGGTTCTGGCTCGTCACCCGCACCGTATCGCAGTTACCATACTCACATTCGCATTAGGCGCCGCTCCGTCACTCGTGTAAACAGCAGAGTAGCTCTCCGGCGGGAAGCTGAATTGCAACGAAGACATCCCTGTCGTTTTACGACGCACATACACTAACAAGAAATCACCGTCACAATATTTTGCTAAGAAATGTACATTCACGATCGGTTCGCCGATGCATTCTCCTGTACTAACACCACGAAGACACAAGCGCGAACGGGCAGACCGGGACACGTGAACTCACTGAAACGAGGCGCGCCGGCGCCCTCACAAACGCGGATTATCAAGTTTTATGACGTTAATGAGTAATGCAAACTTCCCATACATACAAATTGATATTGGTCGCCGTGTGCGCCGATTGTGCGCTATCGACAGTATACGTTATCGCGAAACCGGCCTCCTTGCGACTGGTCCAACGAGTCGTGTATTTGTTGTCAGTTTAACACTGGGGACTGTGGGTACGCGGTGCTCCTTCCATTATTTCATACATATGTACCCACACAATGTTCAATAAATAAACAATTGACGTTGCTACAGATGGAATTAGCATCGAGGCATCATGAATACGCAATGGGCGTGATGAATCCTTCAAATAAAAATGATTTTTATATACTCGCACATGTTAGAATAAATTTGATCGTAGACGCTTAAGCAAAGTTACCAATATTTATTTAGCGTGCGTTATCAACATCATTCAAAAACACATGTAGAGATTTGGGTTACAGAAATTTGATAAAAAAACACTAGTCATACGAAATCACCATCTGCTATCTATTAAATGTATAAAAATGTTAATTTGTTAATAGTAGTCGCGTATCACTCGGTGTCTGTGATTAAAACTTCCTTTGGAGTGTAAACTAGCCTATATAGTTGTCGTGGCCGGTGCAATCGTATCAAGCGATGCAACGGTGTTCGAATCCCGCAGGCGGATACCAAAAAATATTTTTCTAGTAAAATACGTACTTAACAATTATTCACGATTGACTTCCACGGTGAAGGAACAACATCGTGTAATAAAAATCCAATCCGCAAAATGATAATTTGCGTAATTATTAGTGGTAGGACATCTTGAGTCCGCACGGGTAGGTACCACCACCCTGCTTATTTCTACCGTGTAAAAGTAATGTGTTTTGGTTTGAAGGTAGGAGCAGCCGTTGTACTGTTAAAACTGAGACTTAGAACTTATGTCTCGAGGTGGGTTAACCACTTAACACCAGGTGAGCCGTGAGCTCGCCCACACACCTAAACAATAAAAATAAAACAATAATTGACTTTTAACTCAGTCGAATAAACATAAATAAACACACAAAATTTTCCTAAATAAAAGATATAATAATATGAGATGACTCGAATTAGAGTTAAAGTTTTAAGCATACTAAAGATAATTTGATAAAACAATAAAATAGTTAATATATAAAATAATTAAGGATTAAATGAAACTCCAAATTTATTATAAATTATTATTTCACTGAAACGTCTCTAAAAAAACATTTTCAATAACATGCTTTATATTTCCAAATTTATATTATTTTATATACCAGAATACAATCATTACCAGATAATCACAATCACATATTCATCTTGAACAACTAACTAAAGTAAAAAAAAAAATTCTTCAATAAGAGCAATCGCAAAAACAGTCTTTAGATTTCGGTTAAGTTTCAAACATTTCAAATAAAAATTCGTTTTCTTTTTCCCTGTTATTATAAAAACTATGTATGAAGTTTGTATTTATTATCACGTGGCTTGTAAGACGGTGTTGGTGTAGGTCAGCAGTTGCAGCGCTCGCATAGAGGCGGCATCGGACTGGTGTCGCTGCAGCCGCTGCAAGGCAGAGTGCACGGCCGCCGGTATACCAGCACTGCGCAACAACAACTTGGCCTAAACAATATTTTCAATATTAGCTTATAATCAAATCAAACCATTGTAAACGAAACGCTACAACACAACGACGACTTTAACAAAATATGTTACGAAAATTATAAATCACAGATTATTTTATTTAAATACTAGCTGACCCAGCAGACTTCGCAGTGCCTCAATCGATAAAAAAAAAGACCCTAAACTTTTGTAAAAAATAAACTTAAAACAAACAAAATTGTTATTTTTATTTAATTCCGAGCATTTTCATATTTATCACCTTTTAAACCTTCTCTGGACTTCCACAAATAATTCAAGACCAAAATTAGCTAAATCGGTCCAGCCGTTCTCGAGTTTTAGCGAGACTAACGAACAGCAACTCATTTATATATATAGATAGATAGATAGATAGATAGATAATGTGAAAAGAAGCAGATATTAGAATGACTAAAAACTTATAAAACTGATAAAAAATTACAAAAGTACTTAAATTAACGCTAATCATCCCGTAACGTATGTGTACGACGGCGTCTTTCATTTCAAATCATTCACAAAAACACAATCACGATTCTCTTATGCAAAGATCATACGAACGTTATGCTGTTTTGTTTATGTAATTATTATTACTATTTCACACTTAACCATTCAACTTAGAATTTTATTATTTAAGTGTTCTATGACAATCAAACTAAAGCTTAAAGCTAGCAAAGTAGGTAATCAACTGAATTGAATATTTTTACTTGTAAGTTAGTGATGTTTATAAATATGTTCAAGAGCATCCTCCATGCAAATAGTAGATTAAGTAGTGTAATAAGTTGTAAATTGTTTAGTGTTTATTGTAAGTAGAATTACTTTCATAACATTATAAATTAGATTAGTTTTGGTTATCATATTTTATTTTATCCTATAGTTGTAAGGAACATTGTGGACTTAGGACATTTATTTTTTCTCCTACCTACGCCGAAAGTTCGGTTTTCCTCTCGCTCTACAGGGAAGAAAGTCTAACTTTTCCTCCCGCTGTAGAGGGAAGAAAGTGTAACTTTTTCTCCCTAGGTACTGACAAGTGCGCATGCGCGTTAGTGCCTACGTCTGCTCTCACGCACCTAAAATTCTCCGCCAATGTTGTGCTCGGGTAATTTGCAATATTGTGTTTAGTGTAAAAGTGAAATAAACAAAAGCCAATAAAATTTAATAGTGAAGTATGGCCCTGGCATAGTCGACGTTCATGAGTGACGGTAACCACTCACCACCAGGTTTGCCGTCTTATCGTCTGCCTACAAAAACAAAACAAAACAAGAAAAATCGCCCATATCTTTCGATTCAAATGGACAAACGACGCCCAGAAACATGGGTACAGCAACCATCCGTTTTATGTTAACATGAAGACTGCAGATTCAGTTCTCGCACGTGGCACAAAGAACTAGACAGAACCATGCTGACGGTCATGAACTATACGCTATAAATACGATCCAATAAGACCGATAAAGGTATTTAAGCTCTAAACAGTATGTAAAATTTTTCGAGATGAAATTTTAAAACGTCTGTAATGTACGATATATTCAATGAATCTCTGTGTACCGTCAGCTGTGAATATCTCTAAGCGCTGCATGAAACTATTAAGCACGTTTTGACGTTTGAAGATTCAGATATTATGATGACATCCGTGGTCTAAGTGATTCGAAACGTCTGAATGAATATGAATGAACGAAACGATATGAATGAACTAAATCCAAAAATGAGCCAAATTAAATTTAAAATAGCCGCACCAGGATCAACTATAATATCCTCTGTTCAACTTGTTTAATGGAAAAAAACCAACAAATATTTTGTTCACAATTAATTTTAGTATTGATTTAGCGTGGAATGTATGTACGTGTAGAGTGAATATTTGTTATGTAATTATTGAATTTTCTAAATAATTTGTATTTACTCGCTACATCTACGAGTTGTCGAGTATCGAGTCAAATTCGAATTAACCCATAGACACAGCCCACTGAGTTTCTCGCCGGATCTTCTCAGTGAGTCGCGATTCCGATCCGGTGGTAGATTCTGCGAAGCACTGCTCTTGCTAGGGCCAGCGTTAGCAAATTCGCTCAGGTTGAGCCCGTGAGCTCACCTATCCGTCCGGGCGTAGCTGGAATAGCCTCTATCGAATAGGTAGGGGGAAAAAGCAGTTCTCTCTGTAAAGGCGTGCGATGTGCGTACCTTGTGGTTGTTGGCGGCGAGTGCCCAGACGGCGCGCGCGGCGCTGACCACGTCCCCGACATCTCCCGCCAACAGCGACCCCGACAGGAGCTCCAGCAGATCAGCTGTCACACAATTAATTGCTATTTCAATATTAAAAACCTCATAAACGAACGAATGAAGTAAACTATGTATGTATATTGAGATTTTTAATGTTATTTCATGTCCTCAAAAACACAAAAGTCTGATCAACTCGTTACTGACCGATTTTCGGATTCGGTAAACAATTAGTTTGAAAAATACATAAAATCTATCGTGCTAGCAATCAATGCAATATGATTTTACAAGAAAATAGATTCGGGCTTTTTATGTCGACAGTGAAAAGTTCGTTCCTGTCATTTTTTCTTAAGTAAAACTTCTTATGCTTTTTCGTCGTTGTAGCCTAAAGGATAAGAAGCATGGCGCAGTCGCATCGAGCGATGCAAGTGTGCCGGTATTTGAATCCCGCAGGCAGGTACCATATTATCTAATAATATGCATACATATTATATTATTTATATAAAGGATTTTTTTTTAATTTTTTTTTTACTTATGTAGACGAGCTTACAGCCCACCTGGTGTGTGCTGGGTGGTTATTTTTATTTAATTCTGAGCATTTTCATATTTATCTACCTTTTAAACCTTCTCTGGACTTCCACAAATAATTCAAGACCAAAATTAGCCAAATCGGTCCAGCCGTTCTCGAGTTTTAGCGAGACTAACGAACAGCAATTCATTTTTATATATATAGAAGAACAAGATAGAAGATGTTGTCGAAACGCAAATAAATAATAATTGAAAAGTTTAAAATTGTTCTATAATAGTGACTACCAATTAGGAAAAGGTCTCTTAATTCCCATACAACATTGAAACAGAGCCTCTGAATATCAATATATTTAATTTGCCAAAAATTCGTATATTACTGTGAAAAATAGCACACGTAGGACCGGTCATTTAAAACGTCAACACACTGTATTGTTGCTCGATATTTTACTAACACATTAGCGTCAGTTCGAATGTTTCGTTACACATTGTCGGTGAACATAACAATTTATTTGCAAATTTAGTAGGTAGTAATTTTACAAAAGTAGTTTGCGTCATTCGAAGATATCTTACAATTCGACACAACAAAGCGCGAATGTATTTGTTCGCTTCCTACTTCCTACGATTCGCAAAATTTCGAAAATATTCATTAACTTACGAACCCAATTGAATATGCAATTTCGAAAAGGGCACATGTCGCATATTTTGTCAAATACGTTTTTTCATATCCATGTAGTTTTGAGGCTTACCTACACCCATTTTATAATAATTACAGTTATTTTCAATTGCTAATTAACACTAAAATATCAAAAGTTAATATTTTAAATTTTACACTGCCTTAGAAGATAATCAGTTTTTTTCATTTCCTGAACATTTCACGTTTTCAGAGATGTGCCCTTTTCGAAATTGCATATTCAATCATTTTAAAAACAATATTTTCGACGCTTCGTTTCAAGCGCAGCCAATCGAGTAAAATTAAACACCAATTGGCATCTAAAATGCTGGAATTACTTTTCCAACAACGCAAAGAAGTCCAGGCAAGACCCGGACAAATACTTATGCTTTGAAAAGCACAAGTTCCGCCTCTGGTGGAGTACGGTGCCCATCTCTGGGCCGGGACTCCTAAATTTTGAATAATCCCATTCCTACAGATTGGAACCTCTTCTAGGTCTGCGAAGGGACTTCTATTCTCTCCCTTCAAGTCAAGTTATGGGGAGTATTCAGCAGCAAGAAAAAGGTTTGACTTTGCCATGACATAGCGGATGTCCACGTGCGACGGTAAGCAGTCACCATCAGGTGCGTCATATGCTCGTTTGCCTACAATATTAGTAACGGTGGGTCGTGAGAGCGTCATGCAAAATAAATATATATTATAAAATACATTCTAATTACGTGGTTTAATATAAATCCTGATTAATATCCTCAAATCCTCATACTGGAATGGAAAGACTTACTTAATATTACAGCTTACAGGTTTTATACCTTACAAAGTTTATCTTTCATTTTATTATCTAAGAAGTGAGTCGTCTATTATCAAAGGCGGCAATCTGTACATTTGGACAAATTTTTTTTATTGATATGTCAATACAGATTTATTTGAATATAATCGTCTCCTTCAAAGAATACGGTTCAAAACCTGCATTAAATAAAGGTTAATAGTTAACCTGTTATTTATCTAAGATGTCGTTCCGAAGAGTTTTGTGACTGCCAATGGAATACAAAGTCAATAATTCGTTTTTCTGATTTACCAATATTGTTCAAAAGTCAGATTGCCGGCTTTGATAATAGACGACTCATTTGTATGAAGTCGGAACAGCGCCTCTAGCGGCAAACTTAGGCAAACGCTACGTTACCTGCTTTAACTTTTACGCTGTCGAGAGCGTTATAAAACTCGCATTAAGCATTCAGGTCTATGCATGTCTCCAGCGACCTTGACGTAAAAGGATATCCTAGGTAGGGGCTTAATCTGGAACTGGTCCAAATTAAATAATTTTTAATTAATTATTCTCTATTGCACACACGTTTTAAATATATTATGTGAGTCGTCTATTATCAAAGGCGGCAATCTGTACATTTGGACAAAATTTTTTTATTGATATGTCAATACAGATTTATTTGAATATAATCGTCTCCTTCAAAGAATACGGTTCAAAACCTGCATTAAATAAAGGTTAATAGTTAACCTGTTATTTATCTAAGATGTCGTTCCGAAGAGTTTTGTGACTGCCAATGGAATACAAAGTCAATAATTCGTTTTTCTGATTTACCAATCATTGTCCAAAAGTCAGATTGCCGCCTTTGATAATAGTCGACTCAAGTATAATATTTTAAGCTATTGCATAGCTTTTATCGCGGGCCTTAAGCGCGGCGACCGAATCATGAAATTCCGTAACGAAAAAAATCTTAAACCCCTCACTCCGCCTACCATGTAGCTCGCGTTCGACACATTCACACGTTGCGCTTGTGTAGTGTTTGTGAATAAGCGCGTGGCGTGACGTCACACTGCATGCGCATCATGAAAAGTCTGCCCATCTCTCTCTCGCGCGGTCTAGCTTATGAATGTGAAGGGGACAATTAATGTTTTGCTTTTATTAATGTTTAATATAGCGTGGTCTTGTTTTATTATTATTTTAATATTAAATTATCATTGTCTAATTATAATTGCATAAGTTGATAAAAAATGCTATGCAATAGCTTTACTGCGGCAGTTCCCGAGTGCCACACTTTTTTTTTTATCGCCATATATTTGGTCAGACGAGCTCAACGACGTCCGCCATCCGCACATCTTGAGACGTGAGATCACTTTCAAAAATATAATACGGCTGTCCTACTCCTTAGACAGGAGGACACGATAGCTTCGGGGCAGAAATCAAGTAGGACAGTGGTACACACTCTGCGGGCTGACAACATACAAAACAACCACTAAAATTATTAATAATGTAATTTAACTTACAGGACTGCAGAAAAGCAACGCGATGATAATGCGCCCCGTGAGCTAGAGCGGGCATGAGCTTAGCTCGCAGCGGCGGCGGCAGCGCGCACAGGGCGGCGCGCGGCGCCAGCGCCCCGAGCACGGCCGCCGCGCCGTCCGCGTGCCGAGACAGCGTCTCCACGAACCCGGCCCACGCGTCCGCCGCCCCGCACGCGCCGCGGACGCGCTCTCGGACGCACATTCTGTACACCGAACTCAACACGTCGCTCTGAATAACAAAGAATACGCATAAAAACATATCAGAATAAAACACCCTTTTTTATTTTTTATTGATGCACCAAACAAATTACAATCATTACAGTAGGTACATATTAGCTAAATCGTACAAGTAGTACCTAAATCTAATCTGGATTGCAATCTAAATGGTATAGTAATATGCACGCAGCAAAATAGTATTAATGTACATAGCTTTGGCTATTGAAAACAAAATTACAAATAACTAGCGACCCGCCCTCGCTTCGCTTCGGAAACATAAAAACACAAATGAAACCAAAAAAATAAAATAAAATAAAAAAGTAGCCTATGTTCATTGGGGACAATGTCGGCTTCTAATGGAAAAAGAATTTTTCAAATCGGTCCAGTAGTTTCGGAGCCTATTCGAAACAAACAAACAAACAAATCTTTCCTCTTTATAATATTAGTATAGAAAATTAAAATTACGAATTCCAGGAAAAAACGGTATCCACATAAATAGACAACAATACAACCAACCCAAACATTATATTGATAACTAGCCATTGTTTGAATTTTTTTAATTTTTTTATTTATTTACTACCCTTATATTATCTACAGTAGTCTCTACAAGACGAAGGCAGCCATCGAATTGATTATACAGAAAATAGCACAGCTGTGATGAACAGTTCAACTATTTAATTGTATACTTATTAATTATACAGTACAAATATTTCAATTTCCGCAGTCCCGAGCGACTATCGAGAATACTGTGCAAGTGTTCAATCAATCAAATCTTAAAAAATCTACAACTGAGAGTTCATAAAAATAACACCCGGGAAAAAGAAGAAAAATCTGTTTACCTTTATAATGATGGTTCGACAGTGGTGATGGTGGAGGCAATTCCTCAACGTATTTAAAGCGAGTAGCAGCAGCGAGTCGGCCCTAGTGCGCGACTGCAGCGCCGCCTCGCGGGCCGCCAGCGCACACACCTCGCTTGTCAGGTTGCGGCCGCTCACGCACGTGCACATCGATGAATAGGCTGATCAAAACGATCACATTATCATTATTAAAAAATTAGCCGTACTCGCTCGCTTCGATGGGCATTTAAAATTAACATTATTGTTTACTGTCATTATTATTAGGGAGTCTAACACTCATATAAATATTAGCCTATCAATCCATACCATATGTATTTTCTACATGGATACCAAGTTTCAAGTCAATCGGATGCATGGTTCAGTAGTTATAACGGAACATCCGTAAAAACCACTGTAGATTTATATCACTACATAGTATAAAACAAAGTCGCTTTCTCTGTCCCTATATCCCTATGTGTGCTTGAATCTTTAAAACTACGCAACGGATTTTGATGCGGTTTTTTTAATAGATAGAGTGATTGAAGAGGAAGGTTTATATGTATAATAAGATCCATTAAATAGTGGAGAAATCAACTATAAGTTACAGTTTCCGAAGCGAAGCGAAGGCGGGTCGCTAGTATTAGTATAGATTAGACAAGTTGTGTCACCCGTGCACAGTAAAGGGTTCTGTAGTCGAGATTAACTTTCATGATTAGATATAAAAATGCTGTAATATAAACTACACCATATCTCAAAAATCACACATTCCGGTATGTTTAAAAACAGGTTTTGCTAATTTTTTTTTGTTTAAAATTTTAATCCATATTTGAATACTTCAAACATGTAACTAATTAAATTTTAATTTGTATGTACAAAAAATACTTTTTAATGCAATACTAAACAGGCACTGGCTTTTAATTTTTTTTATTTTATTGCTTAGATGGGTGGACGAGCTGATGGTCCATCTGGACTTATATAGTCGCCGGAGCCCATAGTCATCAACACAGCAAATGCCGCCATCCACCTTGAGACACGAGTTCTACGTCGCAATTATTACAGTACAACGGCTTCTCCACGATGAAACCGAAACGCCTTAACTGCTTCACGGCAGTAATATTCAGGGTAGTGGTACCTATCCGTGCGGGCTCAGAAGACGCCCTTACACCAGTAATTACGCAGCGTATAATTTTTGCGGATTCGATTTTTGTTACACGATGTTATTACTTCACCGTGGAAGATATTCACGAAAATTTATTAAGTATGTATTTCAATTTCGAACATCTTATCCTTTAGTTAGACCATTATGACTTTAAAATCATCCCATTTGTATACATTGTTCTAGTATGAAGATACTATGAAATTATAGCGGTTCCAATTTTGCTCAATAGCTACAGAATCCGTAAGCAACAATATATTATTGTTTTTCAGCGAAGAAAAAAAAACAAGAATATTCAATTACATTATAAAATACTACACCTTTTTCACAATAGTTCGTAAACGTGTAAAGCAAATGCATGACCGCCTGGCGTAGTTGGTCAGTCATCATACACCAGGGCCAGAGCTTGTTGAGCGACAGCGCTATGTTATCCTCCGCGAAACTTATCTTGGCAGCAGGACAATTTACCATCAAACAATCGACGCTGGTGAGCACCCAGTACAACGTGCATAGAACGGGATTCTAAAACAATCAAACAAAAAACGTTTACTGGTGGTAGGATGTCTTGTGAGTCCACACGGGTAGATACCACCACCCTGCCCCGTGAAGCAATAATGCGTTTCGGTTTGAAGAGTGGGGCAGCCGTTGTACTGTTTAAAGTGAGACCTTACAACTTAGGTCTCAAAGGTGGGTGGCGGCATTTACGTTGTAGATGTCTATGGGCTCATTAACAACAGGTGGGCCGTGAGCTCGTCCATCCATCTCAGAAAAAAAAATTGATAAACAGTTATTTATGTGCCTTATAAAAAAAAAGGTCAAATTACACAACATTGGCAATGATCTCTCACGTTATTAGCATTGCGGATGACATCAGCCGGCTTCCCTTGAACCGAGAGATGGTCGCGCGCCGCCTGCAACATTTCGAGCAACACCTTCGGCAGGTGGCGGTGCACGCCGAATTCACGGCTTCGTGGACTCACGGCTAGCACTGATGATAGGCATGACGATATATTCACCCATTGTTCGTCTGAAAGACAAAAGTCAGAGTCATCTATTGATCTCTCAGCTCATGGACGTGTACTGCTAGATACAAGCCACCCCCATGGCTCGCTACAGCCAACGGTCTTGCGCTGCCTGCATTTAGCGGATTTCCGTGATATTCAACAGGTTGTCGTTGCTCCTTGTCTACCCACGCTAAGAGTTCCAGATTTGTGGTGTCTTAAAAAAAAACATGTGTAGCACTCGGGAACTGCCGCGGTAAAGCTATTGGATAACATTTTTATCAACTTAGGTAATTATAATCAGACAATCATAATTTAATATTAAAACAATAATAAAATAAAACCACGCTATATTTATAAACATTAACTAAAGCAAAACATTAAACTGTCCCCTTCACGCTCATAAGCTAGACCGCGCGAAAGAGAGATGGACACTTTTCATGATGCACATCCAGTGCGACGTCACGCCGCGCGCTTATTCACAAACACTACACAAGCGCAACGTGTGAATTTGTTGAACGCGAGCTACATAGTAGGCGGAGTGGGGGGTGTTAGGTTTTATTTTCGTTACCGAATTTCTTAATTCGGTCGCCGCGCTCAATGCCTGCGATAAAAGCTATGCCATAGCTTAATAACACTCCCCATCTCCTCCCGTGAATATGGTAAAAGGCGACTTAACCATTCTCCACAGAACGGGCAGCAGCGTCGTCTGAGCAGCACACCGCCATTAAACATTTCGAGGAATACTCGTATATTAATAATATTAAATTACCGTCGAATCCTACTCACTTTGACTAGCCAAATGCTTTTTATTGTCCAGCAAAATTTTCCGATACAGGTTTACAAGTATTTTACACAACTCCTCGGCCATGTATTCGGGTACACAATCATCGGGCCCGCCGTCGCCGTCGCCGACGCTCCCCATATTGTTCACAAGGGAAGACTTCACATTATCATAGAAATCTACGATGGACAGATCATTCGTTTTATCAACGTGCTTCTCGCGGCCAATCGACTGAACGAGTTGTGCCAGACAACACAAGGCCGCGTCTCGAAATTCTGAAAATTAAATACTTTAACTTAACTTAATGATCTATATAATAGTGTAATGTTATTTTGGTGCTCTAAGGCATTTTTATCTCTTTTATTATCGTGCCAGTCGCCCGTGATGCGGACCGCCGCTGTCGCTGAGTTCGTGCATAATTTCGAGAAAGCATTGTTGGTGTAAGGTGTAGTCTGACCGCGATGCCCACTGAGTTTCTCGACGGTTCTTCTCAGTGTATCGCGATTCCTGTTCGGTAGCGGATTCTGCGTAGCACTGCTCTTGGTAGGCCTAGTGTGTAGCTAGAATAACCCCTTAGGTTATCAGCGAATAGGTAGGAATATATACATATTCTTCTTCAAACGAAAATAGTAGTTTATTTTCTTAACACCTAGCTCACGGCCCACCTCGTGTCAATTGTTACACATAGACATCACAACGTGAATACCGCCACCCATATATAATTACCAAAATATTTACGATTTGTATTACTGTATTATACTTTCACGGTAGACGCCATTCGTGAATATTATGTATGTATTTCTCACAGTATTTTCTTACGATTGCGTTGATAATAGACATAGTTATAATTACTCTTAATATAAAGTTTTTACTAACGGACTGTTGATTGTCTGTGACCAATAAAACCTAAAAGTATTCGACGCGTAGGAAACAATATAATGATGGAAAATAAAGTGGAGATTACGTCATGTATTTTAGTAGAAAAATTGATTGGGTTTTGAACACCGGCACTGTCGCATTACTCGATACGAGTACATCGGGCTTCTTATCCTTTAGTCCAGGACGTCAAAAATAAATTTAAAGTTTTTAAATTCAATTATCAACAACATTTGATTTCAACATTTTTATAGATTATATATATTAAACCAACCTGTCTCATTGCTTTGCAGAGCTTGTTGTATCAAAACTAGTAAAGAAGTCAGTAACTCTCTCTGTTCAGTCCACAAGCTGCGGATTACAGTTCGCTCTTTCAACAACGAAGCCAACAGCAGCAATCCCTGGGACCGCGCGAATATGCAATCGCCTTCCACGTGTTCTGTAAACAAAAAATATGCCATACATATAATGAAGTAAACTACAAAAACTTTGCGACTTTTTTGTTGCATTTTTATCATCAGCTAAGACGAGCAAACGAGGTCACGGTCCGTAAATTACACTATAAAGCATTTAGAAGTTTATAAACCTTTAAAGCCGAAGTGTATGTAGTATATATCTACAGCTACGTAGACCGTACCAAGTGACAAAGACTTAAGACTTACTTTTTCCACATTTAAAACATAAAAACTTGCATAGATCGATATGGCCGAATCACGCAGCAAACGTTTTAAACTACCCGTCATACGTTTGATATTTTTGATTTTTAGCAAATATATTAGTATGATTTATTCTAGAAGTTTCTAAACGCCGAAAGAGGACATCAGTAAACATGAATCATATCTAATGATAAAGCAGGTCATCGCGATGCGAACGGATCGCTGATAACTATCTATATTGTAAGTGCAACAACAAAGCTACATATCTATATATGATTATATCCTATTGACGTATCTGTACGTGCTCGTTAGCACAGATCTTTAAAATAATACTTCTACAGGGTGTACCGTAGACGGTTTCGAAAACGATGACTGCTGTGTGCTTTTAGTGCAAGTTTTTTAACGTTCTCGATGGCGTAAAAGTTAACTCAAATTTTTATGGAGTTGAAACGTTTGCCTACTTTTGCCACTAGGGGCGCTGTTCCGACTGCATACAAATATGAGTTAACTTTTACGATGTCGAGAACGTTAAAAAAACTCCCACTAAGCACACTGGTAGTACTGTTGATTTCTGTCACGAAAGCACTAAAAATAACGTTAATTCTCACCAATGCTTTTTGTTTTTCATTTTTAGCGCAATCTATTTCAATTGCAAATCAGATGATGCGTGTGGTCGATATCCTAAAGCGACACTTTCAAACGACCGCCGGTTACCTTCGCCTAAGATTGCGAATATATGAATGATAAACTTCAGGAAATGATAAATATTTATGCTCAATATAACCAATTGATATTATTATAGGTTTACTTTCGACTAGCATTTTTGCGTTCTGTTATCCACAGCACCGAGAATCCCAATATAAGTCCGGATGAACCGAATGGAAATATCTAGGAGCTTTGTCCGAAGCTAAAACTATGAATAGAATAAGGCTTTAGAGTATTTTCTTGAGTTTTCACGAGTCGTAGACATAATTACAGTTAACTTTACAGTTTTAATTTTTTTTTATTGCTTATGTGGGTGGACGTGCTCACAACCTACCTGGTGTTAAGTGGTTACTCGAGCCCATAGACATCTACAATGTAAATGCGCCACACACTTTGAGATATCAGTTCTAAGGTCTCAGTATAGTTATAACGGCTGCCTCACCCTTCAAACCGAAACGCATTACTGCTTCACGGCAGAAATAGGCAGGGTGGTGGGACCTACCCGTGCGGACTCACAAGATCCTACCACCAGTAATTACGCAAATTATAATTTTGCGGGTTTGATTTTTTATTACACGATGTTATTCCTTCACCGTAGAAGTCAATCGTGAACATTTGTTAAGTACGTATTTCATTAGAAAAATTGGTACCCGCCTGCGGGATTCGAACACGATTGCATTGCTCGATACGAATGCACCGGACGTCTTATCCTTTAGGCCACGACGACTACAGATCACGAACCGACCGGTCGTAAACTTCTGATATAATACTATGAAAATAATAAACGTGAGATTAAACCGTAAAACTAATTTAATAGTATTGAATATGTATATAGTCTGTAATTACTTTAATGTCAGTCTCGCATTAAATTCCCTGTTAAAAGCACGCATCTATTTTTCACCAATTAGTTTCTTACAGTTCCAAGAGCGATTCCCGTAAGCCGCACACATTGTACTCGAAATGATATAATTTCTTACAAAGTCTTACGTCACCATAAGAATGGTTATGTAGATAATCATAATTGTTGTTTCTGATAATAAGTACTTAATGAAAAATCAAGTGGTATTTTATCGACAAATCATTCAGATATAAAGTATCATCTGATAATAACGTGTTAAAAATTCCATTTGAATTCGTAATTTTTCTTCATAAGAATCCGTTTCTTAATCCAAGCTCTTTTATGGACGATAATTTACAATTTGCACGTAAGTCACTAGAACTTTATTTTTTTCCTCTCAGACTCTAATTTATTAAAGTGAATGATTCTGTTTACATTTTCTGTATACTGTTTACATAAAGGTTTCAACAAATCAACAATAACTATTATTTTGTTTTATTTTAACTAAATACAATCCTCATGTCTGGTACACGTTTATCTACGATCGGCAAACATACCGGTAAACTTCAAAGGAACTAATAGTGAATAATAGCATCACGTATAATACTAAAACACACACCTTCCTGTACCGGCGACAAAGTCATTAGCAAATTATGCAGGCAGTCTTTAGTGGACGCTAGCGTTGTGCGTACGCACTTGTGTGACGTCACGACCGCGAGCGCACGACACGCAGCGCCCCGCATCGTACCAGTCTCCCGTTGTCCTGCACTGCACGACGTTACACATCTGTAATTAATAACGTGCTCGTTGAAAACAAACATAGGTTTCCAATTAAATTAATAATATTTTATTATTTTAGTAATTTGCATCAAAAATAATTAAATCTTAGGATTATAAATCATAGTTCCAAGCCGGTTTCGGCAGCGGCGACCAAAGTTTTCCATTCAATAACTTAAAAGCTAATGTCCGCGCCTCTCATGCGCTCTAATATGGCTATGGTAGCCTATCTTGTTCTTATACGTGCGCAAACAGAAGCTACACGTAATAACACCACCCACGAAGTTGTAAAAAATGGTGGATCACGATCATACAACACCATTGTTAAGTACAAGCCAGCGTGACAACATCGGAATATGTTATATATCATCAATCAATAATATGTCAAATAACAACCGTTGTAACTATACTGAGACCTTAGAGCTTATATCTCAAGGTGGGTGGCGCATTTACGTTGTAGATGTCTATGGGGTCCGGTAACCACTTAACACCAGGGTTTTTTTTATTGCCCTTGTAGGCAGACGAGCACACGGCCCGCCTGATGGTGAATGGTTACCGTCGCCCATGGACTTCAGCAATGCCAGGGGCAGAAACAAGCCGCTGCCTACCGCGTAATACTGTGTATAATAATAATAATACTTAATACTGTGGGCTGTGAGTTCGTCCAGCTATCTAAGCAATAAAAAAATACAACAAAATTAAATACCTGAACAAAAGTCTGTACAGTCCGCGTTCATTCCACTCCTGTAGGGGACAATGTGCAAATGCGCTAACATTGTGTAACAGGTCAGCGACGGCCGCTATTAGTTCAATGCTGGGCGGTGGCCGTCTGCACTGCGCGGTGCTCGGACGTATCCACAAGTCGCTGCATTTATTCGCACGAACCTCGATCTCCGACCGACGATCCAACACAGACAATGAAATGTTCGGTTCTAAAAATAACACATACTAGCTGTACCCGTCCGCTTCGCTGGGCATTTAAAAATTATTTCTCACCCCCACAAAGATTCTTATCATTAACGCAACTGGTGTAGGGAGTCCAACACTCATATAAATATTAGCCTATCCATTAAGTACATGTATTTTCTACATGAATACCAAGTTTCAAGTCAATCGGATGCATGGTTCAGTAGTTATAACGGAACATCCGTAAAAACCACTGTAGATTTATATATTAGTATATAGATTATTCATTTTACATAACGGTCGCGAGTTTGCGCACGTCAAATTCGAATGATGGAATTCTAAATTTAGAAAGCTCACATTTAATGTCATTTTGGGAACAATCAATTGTCCATTACCGTTTGCTTACGCAACGACAATCGTAATTATTATTCTATGTACGGAACCTAGAATGTTGATTGAGCACGACACTGTAGACGGATATTCTGTTCACGGACTCTGCGGTTAGTTGTACATTTCAATTGACCGATCTTAAAAATGTTGTTAAACCAACGCATGTTACGAATAATACATTCAAATGTATAGTGTTAATGAAAAAGTACCAAACCTTTTTAAATCGCATCTTACTAGTGGTAAGGTGTAATGTTATTCGCAAGATACCACCAAGATAGATGTGGATACCACCGTGCTACTTCTTATCTTCATGCTTCGAGGTAGGCGTTGACATTGACATTGTTACATTTTAACGTCTATGAGTTCCGATACCTGCTCAAGCAAAGCTCAAGCAACCATTAGCTCATCAGAATACACCAATAGAAAAAACTCACCGATTATTTGTTTATATTGTTTTGTGTTACAGAACTCAACTAGTATATCTAGAACTGACTCGAGTATATTATTTTCCTTCAGCTGTTCCAAAACTTCGTTTTCGAGAATCTAAAAATAATAAGAAATTACAAATTAGTAGGCGTTTCAATATTGTGATTTAAGAGTCGTCGAAAATATGATAAAAATTCAATAAATTAACTGGTAACTAGTACCTTTAATCATAAGATACAACAAGTCCTCGAGCAACTAATCTGCTACTACTTCAATCATCAATGTTGGTTAGGATACTCTAATCTTTCTTGTCAACTTATTCCCTGGTTGCAATGAATATCGTGAGCCCGCAAGCGTTAGTATCAACCGACGCAACTATTTCTGCTGCGAAGCAATCATCCGTCCCGCTTTGAAGGGCCAACGGCCATTGTACAATACAATTGAGGCTTCTACCTCATTAGGTAGAAACCGTTTAAGACATTTCTCAAAGCGGGTGTTTTCACTAGGCCAGTGTTCGGCAAACTTATTAGCCAAAGAGCCAAATATGCAAATTAAAACGACTTAAAAAAATTTAGAGCCAAATCTGTCTGTAAATTTAGTAAGCATTTATTATTGCAAACCATAAAATAAATGCTATATTGTATATTGCTTCGATTAATATATATATAATAATCGACATCAGTCAAGGGTGCTGATATTAAATGACCGTACATACTATTAACCGGCTCTTTCGTCCACAGCTGGATAATATTAGAGGCCGGGAGGGCCCGTAGGATATTTGTGCCAGAGCCACACTCAAGAGTTCAAAGAGCCGCACTTTGCCGACCTCTGCACTAGACTATGACCACGCTCATCAATGTAGGCAATAAAAATAGCGTACGCTAAAAACAACGGTAACACGATCATTCAATGTAATAATGTTTGATTCTGATCTTTAGCATATTTTGAGACGAGATAAGATTATATGAAAATGCTTCAATACTTTCCATCGTGGTTCACAAAATATTTACGTAGACAATCAAATAAAACATATTACTAAAAGCGCTTACATATTTATTTATTTCATATAACATTTAATATACATCTACAATAGTTACTATAGTACTACTTAAAAAATAAATATTACGATTCAGGTCCAAATGTTAAAATACTGTAACATTCTATTAAGTAACATATATGAACGAATAGTGACGTCCACGAAATACTTCGTAACAATACCATTCGGGGTCATCAAACGATACAATCAACGCATGAAACAAACAAAACATTTATTTGTACATACACACCATTATACAAACCGTCGCACATCTGTAAAACCATTATATTACAATGACACAAAAAAATGATAACAACGACCGGAAGTGAATTATAATTATAGAATCATTATGAACACAAGTGTGTTCATTGGTCTGTTGCTTTTTTACGCGGTAACAAATAACCTTCTTTTTATACCGATTGTTTCTGAGACAGAATCACATAGGATTCTTATTTCGTGAAAAAAATTATACGCGTTCAGTGATTACGAAGTATGTTTGTTTGTCTGTCCCTTTAAAAAGGTAACAAATTATCGACATGTTTTTTGCAAAGATACATTAATATGAGTAAATTAGTAACAAGTTTAAGTGATAAAATAGTTTTATTGTTATTGATAAAAATTTAAGTACCTACACTGAAACTATAATTAATTAAGGAAAGCGTTATTTATTCATCTTCAGAAACTAACATGCTTGGAACTTCTTTACATTTAAGTACTTATTTTTTATTTATAGAGGTACAAATTTCAGCCATATCCCGCCTTTATTCTTAAGCATTACACTTCTAGGATCATAGACTATAGTGGAAGTTGTCATGGAACAAGGTTCTATTTCAAAACTACTTAGCAAAGCCGCAAGAGCCGCGGCAACTGTCAATTGAGCAAATCGTGCGCCTGAAACAAAAGAAAATAAAATATGAAAATGTTTATAAAATACATTTGTACATGTCGGTATTTATATTAAAGTTATTTATAAACGAATTGAATGCTACTGATGTTTAATAATACTCTAGAATGTTTGATTGAAACCACTTGCAAGCTGTCAAAACAATGACGTATTGACAGTAGGAATTGCTAAAGGAAAAGAACGGATGTTTTCATTGAAAATTTTCTGTGTACCGTCTCAGACATTAAAATGACTAAAGCATTAATTTACGTACCTGGACAACTCCTCGGTCCTTCGCCGAAAGCCAAAAATCCAGGAGGATTTGTTTCCTTAAACCTTTCTAGATTGAACTTGTCAGGATTAGGAAAGTGTTGGGCGTCTCGCTGAATACAATACAAAGGTATTAACACGGGATCTCTTACTCTAACGCTTAAATCTGTGCCATTCAGAGTACAAGCACTGGTGCAAAGCCGTGTCGTGAGCGGCGTCGGTGGATGAAGTCGTAAAGTCTCAAGTACAGCTTGGTTGACCAAGCGCATTGAACACACTGCTTCATAATTTATACCACCATACCTTTCTAAGCAGTCAACAATCTCTGTTCTGAGATCATCTTGGATGTGTTTATCTTTAGCCAATTCATATAAACAGAACGATAGTGTAGTAGACGAGGATTCTAGTCCAGCGAGCATAAAAATGAACGAATTCGATATTATCAATGTGTCGGTCATAACGAAACTTGTTTCAGTTTTCTGAACGTTCAACATAAGCTGTAGGAAGTCATGTCTTTGAACGCCCGTGGCGCGCCTTTCATCGAGAACTTTCTTAATAATAGTTGTGAAAAACGTTTCCACATCCTTTGAGTATGTTCTGAGATTCAAAAATTTAAACAGCTTTGGGAAAAACGTTCTACAATAGCGTTTTAAAACAGTAGAACGATCAATTTTAAACATTTTTTGCGACATTTTTAAGAATGGAGACTCGGGATCTTTCAGAGAACCAGGGTCGACTCCGAAGGCACAACTACCAATTACGTCTGTAGTAAATCGTGTCATAAAATCGGGCACATTAACTTCCGCGAGAGACTCCTTAAGTAGACTATTTTTTAATGTTTGAGCACATTCCGCTATCAATGGAAACATAGCTTTCATTTTCGCCGATGAAAATGTTGGCGTTACAATCTGCCTCATAGCTTTCCATTCAGCTCCACTCATATTAGCTAAATTCCGAAGCAATGGTTCCCGCTGCGTATCGGTCGTAACAGATATGCGATCGCTGAAATTCGGAAATTCTTTAGATAATACATTTTTCACCAGTTCTAAATCTATGAGCATTAATGTCGGCCTCCGTGCTTGAAAAATTCCCACGTATTTCTCATTATAATAATTATCGTAAAAAAATTGCAACATTTTTGTGTAGCTTCTCCTCATAGTGAACGTTGCTCCAAAATTTCCAAATAACGGACATGGTTCTCTGTAAGGTACATTTCGTAACAACCAATATTTTCTTCCTTTAGTCGTATAGTGAAACACGGTTAACAACAGAATCAAAAACAGTAAAATCACCACTAATAATACACTTAACCACATTGTCACTGATTCACATATAACGGGATAAGCAAGAAAAATATTGTTTGAATCCCCGCAAAATAGTCAGCGCGCCCGCATATCGTAATTTGTAAACAGAATACAGGCGAGCATGCGCTGTGAGATGCGGGGACCTGAGTCTTCGCCGACGCAGCGCGGCGTCCAGCGATCAAGTGAAGCATACAGCCGGCTCGCACTCTCAGATAAGCCCTACGCGTCTTGCACTCAAGGCCATGCACATTGAAGTACGTCCATGACTTGAATATAATCACACATCAATTATTACGATAGCTATTGTATTCATAAACTGAATAGTGATAAAAAAAACTATTATTTTAGCCGCTGCCCAGATTTTCGTATTAATAAAATTTACAATCTCGATTTTAAAACAATTATTTTATAATATATTATTTATTATAAAGCCATTAACGTAATGTTGGGATGAATTGACATTATTTCTTTTTAGCAGAACAGAAAAACATATTTTGCGTTCTTTTTATTCAATTGCATTTAATAGTAATTTGTATATTGAATTTGAATTTTTTTTCTTCTTCCTATTCGCTGGTAGCCTAAGAGGTTATTCCAGCTACGCTTGGGTGGGTAGTTGTGCTCACGCGCTCAACCTGAGAGGGTTTGCTAACACTAGCCCTAGCAAGAGCAGTGCTTCGCAGAATCTACCACTACATCGGAACCTAGATCGTCGTGAAGATATACATTTTTTAATTGTGGACATTGGAAATTAGGAACCTCAAAGCTGTCAGGGAAACTGATGCAGGAGAAAATATTAAATCCAAAAAGTATTCATGTTAAGAAGTCCATTGTTAAAAAAATAAGTGATCTTACTTGTTAATTGATCGAATATTTTCAGATTTGAGAAGCGCTTGTATTCTATTGTATTTATGATTCTAATGGTGATTTGTCCAATTTTCATACAAGGTATTTTGGCAATAAGGCCCGACTCTATTTTGTTTTATTAAAACATTTTACCCAAACCATTTACACATTTTACCCAAAATTCACATTTATTGATATTTTTTTAATATAGCCGATGAGAAGTTTTCATGAGTTTTTAAAAACAACTCAAATTATATTTTTTATTTTAAACGGAAATTTTAGTCAATGAGTTTTAAACAGGCAATTAGTTTGAGCATCAAAATTGGTAAATGACATCAGCAGAAAATCTGATACTGCAAAAAACGGTCTGTGCTCACGTAATGTTATGTTTGTATGTACTAATTTTAAATTTGTTCAAATTGACCGTGATTTGAACATGATTCTTTAATATGTAAAACTAATTAATTCTCAAACTTGTGGTCAACAAATTACTAGAAAAAAATATTTTCATAAATATTCAAAAATAATTTATACCGTTACTAAATTGTATAGTAGCGAAGCGTTGAGGATAAACGTATTTCCCACAAAGCGGTCTTTCGCCTCGTTTTCTAAATAGCTTTAAACATAATCATGTATATAGCAATATGCATGGTTGGTGAATATGTACATATAAAAAGCGACAATGAATATTTATTTACCTCTTTTGAGTTACATAGCTTGTGATGTGTTTCTATAAAGAAATATATTCGAACAATAATCGGAATTCAGCCTTAATGACTGTCATCTCGAACTTCATTTTTATTTTAGGTATTATTTTCTGTTGTTGTTTTGTTATCGATATTCGCAAAAAACTGATTCCCTTTAAAAAAAACCTAGTTTTCGATAATAGCTACAAACAAATAAAAATAACAAAAACGTTGGACAATCATAAGAGAAATTGGTAGGCTCTTAGCTGTTTGGTATTTATTTTATGTATTTAAGATTATATTTTTTTAGCTCTCTCAAAAATATCTTTAAACCGAAACTCGTGACTACTTAACACAAAATGGGATGGTAGTGAGCATCCATGCAAGATTCCAACATGTTCTCACTGAATTTTTTTATAGGTAACTAATTATCATTCTACCAACCACAAAAACTTCCATCGGTACCGATGTTTTACCTTGTTTACTTGTGTACTGTTTTGAGGTTTTTTTTCAATTATTTTTTTATTTTTATTTATCTAAATTAGCAGTCGAGCTCATAGCCTACCTGGTGTTGAATGCTTAGCGCAGCCCGTAAACAAAACGAAATACATACCGCCTCGATACATGAGTTTAAAATCTGTTGAAGTGTAAAACAGTTATCCCACACTTAAAACTGGAACGCATGATTGCTTCGTTCGTGTACATGTGATGGACTTGAAGGAATCCAATGCCGACAGAAGAGAATCGTATAAGCATATCATTTGCATAATTACTAGCTGTAGGTTATTAAGGAGTACCTGATACTGTTGACGAATGCGATCTAAAATGAATATCCCAAATTATCGATGACCGCTTTTAATTGTTCAACAATCTCATTTATCTTATTTTTTAACTAGCTAGTTACACTGAGAGATTGATTCCATTGATCGATGTTTGATACACACCATTTCTAAATATTAACTAATATCTATTATTTCATAGTTGAGTTTCGATGTTTATTTGCGTCAATGGAAATGAATTTGTATTCAGTGATTGTTGTTTGTTGATTCTATTATTACTTCTCTGTTTATTTTTAAACAAATCGCACATTACGCTTTACCTAAAACGTTATAATTTGAGCAGAACTGAATTTTAACACAATCAACAGATCAATTCTTAATCGACCCCAGACGTTTTGCAGCGTCAAATTTTCAGTAACGTTGAATTCATACAATTCTCATCACGTAACCTGTTTTTTTTTCAAAGGAGATATAAAGTTAGCGCTGAGCACTGCATTTTAGTTGCGCCCGTGTCTGAGAATGTGGCGGTGGACAGTCTCGTACCTTCGAGCGCAACAAAATCAAGCAACTATAACTAGGTGACGTTCATACAGTATGACACTGTTTACACCACGTTAACACACATTCATGTCGTAGATTTCGGTTGGTTTTTCTATACGAGATAGACTGCTAGAATGGGAGTAAGTGTGAGAATTAAAATCAAAGAAGCGGTAATGTGCATTTCTGTTGCTTGATGAGGCATTACATTTGACTATTGTTTTGACTCGGTGGTGCAGTTAGCGCCCCTGACAATACACTGAGGCTCGTGGGTTCGATTTCCACATCGAGTAAACATTTGTGTGATGAACAGGTTCGGTTGCTTATTTATACATGAATATAAAGTAACGTATACTCTTATAAGTATGCATATCAGTCTCTGATTCCCATAATACAGGGAATCCTAATTTGGGGTTGATAGAATGGGCGCGAAAAAAAGTTTGGTGTAAGACATCGACCTTTCAATGTCAAACATTCGCTCTTTAGGAACAGAGTATGCGCAGTGATGCTTTGTAAATTGTGATATTATATTATTTTGTTTATAATTGTTCCCTGACAATAATTTTTTTACAGTTTATTTATATGTAGAAATAGATAATAGAAAAAGAATCTTGCCATATATTAGTCATAGTTTATTTTAAATAAAGCAGTTCAGGGAAACTAAGCAGCTGGTACAATTGAATCATTCCTGGTATGTCTGGTTCTTATCTAAATGCCGTCTTTAAACGTACATAGCTGCGACGGATCAATGAGATCGATTGACGTTTATGAGGAATATTTATCGATTCATATTACAGCACATACCAATATATAAGTTCAGAGAATATGGAATGACGAATTAGGAGATTTGATTTTGATGGAGAGCTGAATGTTGCTTTTTCTTTAATATCTCGTGTAGGGCTAACTCATTGGCGCGTTAATTTTCATGCGATACTGCTAGCATCTGCACGATTTTACTCAAAATTCTTGAACCCGTTTGAATTGAATTTCTGTGTTTACTTCCTTGGTGGAATGGCTAATAAATGTGTTCCGCAATTTTTTCAATTCCAAGACGGAGTATAACTATGGTATTTATTGAAAATATTGTAGGTAGACAAGATAAGATGTACCAATTTAATTTAAAAAAAAAGAAAAAAAATGATTTTAAATGGTATTTTATAGATTACACTTAACATCTGTTCTACAAATACACGAAACGATCGAAATCATAAAGGATTTCTTCTTGACTACGTTAGTACAACTACACAAAATAAACGTCAGCTGTACCTCACGTTTGCTTTGTTATGTTACTAATACAGAGACATCGATTAGTTTATTATCGATTTTTCAAATTATTCTTATTATTGGGTTTAATAAGACGTTGTAAAAACATTTTTCCGAAATTTAATCGCAGAAAACACGAATATTACTTCTTATTAATAATTATTGAAGTCTCGTGAGTATCTGTCGTCATTAAGATTATAACAATCGATATTAAATCGACAAGTTCGTTAACGTTGTCATTTAGACTCGTGTTCTCTTAAGACATTAATTAATGATAGGTAAATGTAACTGATTTTAAATTACTTTTTTATTACATAGACAGATGTTCAGCTGGTGTTAAGGGGTCACCGACCGCTTTTGATTAGTCCGGAGTCTCGATGTTCTTTTCAATTTAGTGTTGTTGACTATGTGATGACGTCAAGACCGATGCAATTAGGCATAAATTACATGAAAAATTGCTATGACAACATTAATATTAAACTTTGTGTTTCAAATCACCAAATCATCACGGAGATAAATAAAATCGCTCAATCAAAATAATCTATCATAACCTTCACAAAGAAAAACCGTACATAATTCATATTTTAACACACGCGAAGTCGTCGTGGCCTAACGGATAAGACGTCCGGTGCATTCGTGTTGAGCGATGCAACGGTGTTCGAATCTCTGGCGGGTACCAATTTTTCTAATGAAATACGTACTTAACAAATGTTCACGATTGACTTCCACGATGAAGGAATAACATCGTGTAATAAAAATTAAACCCGCAAAATTATAATTTGCGTAATTACTGGTTGTAGGACCTCTTCTGAGTCCACGCGGGTGGATATCACCACCTTGCCTATATCTGCCGTGAAGCAGTAATGCGTTTCGGTTTGAAGGGTGGGGCAGCCGTTGTAACTATACTTGATTTTCGGTAGGCAGCGGCTTGGCTCTGCCCTTGGCATTGCTGAAGTCCATGGGCGACGGTAACCACTCACCATCAGGTGGGCCGTATGCTCGTCTGCCTACAAAGGCAATAAAAAAATAAAAAAAATAAATAAAAAACTTGAGACCTTAGAACTTATATCTCAAGGTGGGTGGCGCATTTACGTTCTGGATGTCTATGGGCTCCAATAACCACTTAACACCAGGTAGGATGTGAGCTCGTCAGCAATAAAAAAAAAAACGAACCAATTCGTTCTATAAAAATTAAAAAAACAATTTACAACTCTCAATTCTTTACCTCAAATTACCTTCATTGTTAAATTTTCTGTAAATCGTCATTTGCATAAATGTTAGTATTAAAACCAGTTGAAAGTAACTCAGTAGACTTATCTCTAAAGATACTTACATTGGACTTCGGTGAAGCTCTTGCTGTTATAGAAGTTAATAAGTCGGCGGCGGCTACTCGGACGATGTTGGATTCACCCTCATGCGAGAAAATGCGGGCCGCGTATTGTGACAGAGAGTCCTCTTCAATAGCTAACAAATTTAATAGATTAATAATATACATATATCACAATAATGCTACACTCAATATTCAGTCTTTTTTTAATACACATACCAGATTAATTTCGAGTAAAACGCTTTGTAATCGAAATATTGACTCGAATTACCCACGAATAAATATTTTGTATTTTAATGTATTAAAATATATTACACTTGTATTTTTAGGTGTTTGCTGAGTTTAGTATTCCAAAAATATTATCAAATACCATACTGTGTATAACAAATATGTATAACATACGATGTACATATATATGTAAGAAATAAACACTATTATTTTTTCCCTAATTAAATTATGACATAAAAATACATTTTAATAGAATTGAATTTAAGTTTAAGACTCGTTTTGAACAACATTTTGATGAAACATTGAGTCGAGTTATATTTTCAAACTGCTAATACAATATTGCAGGTAAAAATACCTTAACTAATAACATGAGGCGAATTCGTCTAACATAAATATTATTTTCGTGGTAACCGTACTGTCATTAATGCGATTATAATAAGCAGTCAGTGAGACCAATTGTTATTATAACAATGAAAACGTTTTTATTCGGATGATATATGGCAACGTTCTGATATGAAGTCAAGATTTCAATCAAATCGATATGTTTTTTTTATCCGAACAGCTCTTTTTGTCTTTATCGTGCGTTTGGTTTTTAACCAAAAACTCCTTTAAAAAATACCCATAAAGGTATTTTTCCAAAGAAAATATCTTATCTTAGAAAATAGATGAAGTAGGAACATATTAATATTCAAAACGTAAACAATCTTAACCTTGACCTGAATAAGGTTAGGCAAAAATAAATAGTTGGATCAGAAAAACAGATCAAATGTTTTAAAAGTACTTTCCGGTCCCATCTACTAGAGGTCCTACCACCAATAATTACGCAAATTATAATTTTGCGGGTTTCGTTTTTATTAGACGATGTTATTCCTTCACCGTGGAAGTCAATCGTGAACATTTGTTGAGTACGTAATTCATTAGAAAAATTGGTACCTGCCTGGGATCCGAACACCGGTGCATCGCTCAACACGAATGCACCGGGCGTCTTTACCTTAGAGGCCACGACGACGTAAGCTACATTTTATTTCGAAAATATACGTCATTTCCACCGGAAATTACACTGATTTACTTGAATTACACTGATTACCTTTCCTTGCCCACGCGGACGAAACCGCAGGTAACAGCTATTAATATATATTTATGTAATTATGATGAATAATGTTATAATTTTAATTAATAGTTTTATTAAGCTTAAACAATTTTAACTAAAACAGTTTATGCGATAAGATGCTTTGTAAGTAAATAGTACATACATTGGTGCAGTCTCTTTTTAATTAAGATGACAAACAGTTTGAGATTACCATCGATAGTTTCACCTAGGGTTGCTGCCTGCGTATTTTTTGATATACAAATACGTAGATAGTGTTCGTGTAAGTCGATCTACTTCGAAAATTTAAATCACAAATGTTTGAACCATTACGTAATACATTCTGCTCAAGGTTGACGGTAAAGGGAATGCGTAGGTACTTGGAATTTCAACGTTGTTTATTAAGAACGCACTCATCTTAATAAAAACGTAAACTAAGCACTTATGTAAAAATATTTTTGCCGTCCGACAGACATAAGAACACTACAATAAAAAAAAACCATTGTTCTGTTAATATTTTAAAATCAATCAAATTTTAGTTCAACTACTGTTGTAGTGTTTTTTTTATTCCACGGAAGAGTCGAATGAACAAGATCACGGCCCATCTGTTGTTAAGTGGTTGCCGGAGCATACATAGAGTTCACAACGCGAAAGCCGCCGCCATCCTTGAGACTTGAGGCTTGAAGTACATGTCTCAATACATAATACATAATTAAGAAAATCATAATTCTTGTGCGTTTGATTTATAATACAATATATTATTTCTTCATCGTCAAAGTCATTAGTGAGCACGAGTTAAATACGTATTACATTAGAAAATTTGGTACTTATCTATGGGTTTGAAAACTGGCATAGCCGCTGATCAAGTGAAAATCTTTACCAAAACCCTACTTAACGAGTGCGTTCGCCAAGCCTCAGATCGCGAGTTATGGAGAAAATAGCTGTCAAGGCTTTGATAAACAAGGATTCCCCATGACCACGACTGCTTTGCCAAGAGTAACCGACTATGATGATGATGATAGTCGCTCAATACGAGTACAGGGGTCTTATCTTTTAAGCCACGGCGACTTTTTTTTCCTACCTAAGCTGAGAGCCTTGAGAGGCTATATCAGCGTAACTTTCACTAGTAGGCGAGCCCACGGGGCTCAAACCTGACGACATTGCTAACACGCACCCTAGCGAGAGCCGTGCTTCGCAGAATCTACCACCGGATTGGAAACGCGACCCACTGAGAAGATCCGGCGAGAAACTCAGTGGGCTATGTATGAGGGTTAATTTACTCCATGAGCCCTTCGTCGCGAGCGACGGGTTCGACGAGAACGATGACAGGATCAAGGTGACGTCACTCACTTCGAAGGGTTTGCATTGTTGATAAATTACCTTGCAACAAATGTGGTAAGAACTGCGCGTAATGTGCAAGTGAGGCTACAACGTGTATGGCGGCCGCCCGTAGTTCCACTCGCCTACTGTTACCGCACACAAATACTTCTCTCACCGCATCGCTGCTCCACGCTTCACTCCATCTCTGTTATGACGAGAATTTCTCTCATCAGATTAACAAACAAGTCACGGAACACCAAAAAACAATAACTTTATTACATCACGTACAGATTGTGATAAATTCGTTTCGTGATAAATATTATGTGACAGATAGCAGCCGTAAAGAATTAAAGTATTTCGGTGTAATGTGCTAAGTAACCGCCAACTTCACTGCGTCAAAGGATATAAACGTATTAATTAGGTACTCATTTATTTTTACCTCGAATTTCGTGACAGTTATAATTTAATCAATAACATAAATATGCATTGCCTGTGTCGGGGAATATTGTGGACCAGAATAATGATTGCCTGTTTTTGCCACAAAGCAGTCGAAGCTTGGAACAGCCGTTATCCGGCAATTGATATTTCGACCTTATGCCTCAAGACACATGTACACATTGTGATATTTATGGATTCCCACAACCCCTTAACGCTGGGTCACTCCTGTACCTCACCCATCAACTTCAGCTTAACCCATTTATGCTTTAAAAATCTAAGGTGACCCCTTTGCTGGGCGATCTTTGATTTGATTTCGATCCGATCGCTACCAAACCAAAATGGCCAATCTAAAGATTTCCTGAAAATTCCTTCTAAATCGATTTCAAATTCTTTAAGGAACATACGTATACAGATTATCTTTCACATAGATAGATAAATAAATGATTAGGTAATAATCACCAAATTTCGTCTTAATTTTTTCTTACCTGAACGGGTATGGCTTCTTCGAATATTTCCCTTAACAAAGCCAATATTGACAGCATTATATCCAGTCTACACGCCTGGCCCTTGCAGCCAGCCCCGGACGCGCAGCCGTTCAATGTTTTCGTGAGCAACTTCATACATTCGATGAGCGTTTCCTGTGACAGCTTGCAGTATCGGGAGTTCAGGGCGTGTCGAACACAACGCGTCAGTTCGTTGAGGTATCCTGGGAATGTTCTAGTGATGAAATAACGCACAAGCAAACTGACTTTCAACGTCTGGTATAGTTTTCTTTTACGTATATAATGTTCACAGAAGTCTACGTCATTTGTGGAACGATTTCGAAACTATGTTTGAAATACTCTCGTACGTGGTCTCATTGTTAAGTTTAATTGAAGTACGTATAGATCATTTTCTTAATATATCATGTAGAGTCTTGAGAATCACGGTAATGAATAACTAGGAACAAATCACGCGCGGTGATCCAGCCCCAATTTAGAAGCCCCTGTGTTATGTGTACCAGAGACTGATAAACATACTTACATAAAATATGTTTAAATATATACATATATCGATAATAAACGCCCAGACACAGAGCAAAAAAGTCTGTGCATCGCACAATGTTTGCCCGATCGATGGGTATCGAACACACGACCCTCGGCGCAACAGTCAGACACGCTAACTACTGCACCACCGAGACAGTTAAATGTATTTACTAATTAATAATATCACACTTTATAAGCTTTAAAGAAATCTGTAAACCGTTGCTACCATCATCATCATCATCACCAATCTATTCCGACTTTTTTATTATGTAAAATATAAATGACCGAATACGTAAAAACAATTCTGTAATTTTTATAATTATTTAGTTTTTTACAGCTCTTATTACGTTTATTCGAATCTGTGTTTAGTTATAGTTCGTTCTAAAACGTTAACTTGATATTCGATATCAATATAAATACTTATCACAAAACTTATATATGTATTATGCTATCTAGAAATATTTTGGTAATAAATTATACAGTTTTATTGAGACAATAATGTTTAATATGCAGTAGATGCAACTTGGCAAGAAACGCTACTGATGTCATAAATCCTAAATAGCGCGAGGATCGATGGATTTTTGTTACTATATCACGCTAAAACTACTGGTTGGATTTCAATGAAACATCATAATATTTAGATAGCGAATACATCAGAATAGCAAATTAGCTATAATATAGTACGATCAACCTACGAGAAGCGGCACGCGAGTATTAGTTGTTATAACAATTGCTGCCAAACACACATTGACAGTATGAAATGGCCTGAAATGCCAACAACTTTACCAACTTCTATCACAATGAAATTAATATTAGAGGAGTGCATGTGTCACAAACATTTTGAAGTGAAAACTTCTTTAGAATCGTTGTGATTTCAAACCGGATGCAACGGAAAAAACGACAGGTAAGAGACACAAACACAAAAGAATGAGACAGAAATATACATACTATTTAATACAGCGCCATCTGTGAGATTTTTTTAATACTAACGTGTGTATGAAAGCTCTTGTAGTGAATTTTAATTTAGGATTATACGTGAAATTAAAATATCAATTCACAGAGGGCGCTACCTTACAATTATTTACTAATGACAAAATTTTAAGACGTTTAGGATAATTGTATTTTAATTTTGGAAGGTTTCACTTCTACCACGTGTGAATTGCACACATGTTTTTTTTATTTTTATTCCTTAGTTGGGTGGACGAGCTCACAGCCCACCTGGTGTTAAGTGGGTACTAGAGCCCACAGACATCTACGACGTAAATGCGACACGCACCTTGAGATATAAGTTCTAAGGTCTCAAGTATAGTTACTTCTTTCATCCACTTTCACTTTCATCTTTAGCATTCCTCATCATTTGGACTTTGTGCCCTTGTCTCCCTACATTTTATGCAACAAAACACATAATATAATTATTCCTTACCTAACATATGAAAATTTTTCAATTCAGTCCTTTCCAAGCACGCGAGTAATATCTTCAAGAGGCTCTCCAGTTTATTTGTACTATATTCGTCACGCTCTAACAATATAACACACCTGAGAAGCACTTTAACGATGTGTATGTGCAGCTGAGTCACTTCTATACATTCCTGTGTCGTTTGTTGCGGATAAAACTGTTCTCGACTCAAAAGCGTTATTATGGAAGCATCGTTTCCGATGAAGGCCTGTTTGATCCAGAACAGTGTGGCGCCTACAAAAACACGAAAATTCGAGTTTAGAATTTGTAACCTTTTAATTCGCATATTTATCTTAATAATAACATGTAATAAGTATATTTTTTAGTATTTTCTTCGGTCTTCCTGAGTTGTAAAATAATTAATACTACTTTCACGGTTAAACTCACGTTTTTTTTAATGTCACTATATTATTTCCGAGTTAGCACAATACTCAAATGGTAAATATTATAGCTTAGTCAACCACGTAAACTATGTTGTACTGGTGGGGTCGGAAATAATGTAATTGTGTTACAAAACGCGAGATCAAACCGTAAAATTAGTTTTAATCACGTAATATACATATCGAGAGATGAAAAGTGAAGGTGAAAGGATTTGGTTTAAGCGACATTTCGCTAAATACGCGACATTTATCTTTGTAATTAAAGGTCAGTTTTATTTGATACTAGCGACCAGCCCTTGCTTCGCTTCGGAAACATTAAATTTCATTATTGATAGCTGAGTCCCGCGATGTTACCCGCGGTTATTGTCGTACCGCCGGCGAAGCCGCGGAGCCAAGCTAGTCTAAAAAAAAGTACCTAAGTTACTCCTTATATCATCAGCTACCTATCAGTGAAAGTCCCGTCAAAATCGGTCCAGCCGTTCCAGAAATTAGCCGGAACAAACAGACAGACAGACAAAAATTGTAAAAAATGTTATTTTGGTGTATGTACCGTATATATATTCATATGCATGTAGTAAAAAGAGGCTATTTCAATATTACAAACAGACACTCCAATTTTATTTATATGTATAGATTAGCATCAACAATTCGATATTTTTAATCAAAATTCAATTAAGTTTACCTCATTCAAATAGCTGAAGAAGTTTTTGTTGCTTATGCTTTGCTTATTATATTTATTTGCTTATATTTGTTTCAAATTTTAAACTTAAATGGCTCTTCTGAAAAGTTGCAAAAATGTCGCTTAAACCCAATAGCCTTTCAACCCTCGATACACATCGTTTAACAAGTGCCGCATTATACTATATTTACAAATAATTTATAATGTTTGTGTATTGTAGACTTACCTTCATTGGGTAAGTTATCCATATAGGTTATAATGAAGTGCAATAGTGTTGTTAATAAGATTGTGTCTCTGGAAGAGGCGGGCGGTGCCGATATGAACTTTTGCATGTTTTGCCAGGGCAACGAACTGAACTCTTCCATATTTGTTGTCGAAGATGAAACAAGGTGTATGTAACTGTAATTTAAAATAATTTAATTAATATTATACATACCGCCACCCTGCCTATTTCCGCCACAAAGCAGTAATACATTCCGCTTTGAAGGGTGGGGCAAGCATTGTACTATAGAACTGAGACTTCAAATTCATAGCTCAAGGTGGGTGGCGATGGTAATGTTGTTGATATCTATAGATTCCGGTAAACAACACCAGATGAGCTCGTTTATCCGTCTAAGGAATAAATAAAAACAGAACTCCATCTTTAATGCTTCTTTCATGAGGCCCTCTATCGTCAAGACGTAACGAGATGCTCTCAATACCAATTAAAATGATTAACGTATGTTATCACTATATCAAAATAGTATGGAATATCTATACTAATATATAAATTTACAGTGGTTTTTACGGATGTTCCGTTATAACTACTGAATCATTGCAATGGACTTGAAACTTGGTATCCATGTAGAAAATACAGGTACTTAATGGATAGGCTAATATTAATATGAGTGTTGGACTCCCTACACCATTTGCGGGGGCGTCAATAATGAGAATCTTTGTGGAGGTGAGAAATAATAATGGTAATTAATTTTAAATGACCAGCGAGCGGACGGGTACAGCTAGTATAATATATAGTATATAACCTTTCTAATCGATGAAGCGCATCATTGACCTGGGCATGCGAGGTCGCGTTCTCGAGCGCGAGCAGGGCGGCGCCGCACGCGTACTGCGGGCACGCCGTCCTCAGCGCGGCCACGTCGCGCGCGGCGGGCTGCAGGCCCAGCGGGGCGGGGCACGCGGCGGCGGCGCTCGGCCCCTGCAGCACGCACGCGCGCCCCGCGTACGTGCACCACCAGCGCACGCGGATACATGCACGCCACTGTTCCTCCCCTAACAACCACTCTGTCCCCCCCAAATTTAAATTAATTTTTTAGTTTTTATTTAATAGTTAATTTGACTACGAATAAGATTAAGTCAAATAAAATATTAACTTTGCTATACATAAGAATGTATTTAAGGTTTTATTGTGGCCGGACTATTAAATTACATTTGCAATTCAAATCCTGTTAAAGGTTTGTTAACAGCAGATACGAAGATAACAACGGGCAAAAATAGTATTTTAGGCACAAATTGGATTACGCCGTATATTCTCGAAAACATTAAGTTATTACTGTATCACTTATTTTATGAGCATACATGATCTTATAACAATTTATTCAACTCACCAATGTATGAATGTTCAGCATTAGGGCTAGTGCTCCAATAGCTGTGGACGTTAAAAGGCAGAGATATCCGGTCCGTCACGTTTAATGGCAGAGCTGGTACGCGACGTCGAGCAGAATCTAGCTCTTGTAATACAAATCCGGCCCACGCCACTAGAGCCAGCACTTGTGCGGTCATAGCCACTGCAGCTTCATTTGTTGGAAACACCAATATCACTAGAAAAAAACAACCATAGCTTGGATGCAGTTTACTGAATTTCGATCGTTTTTTTTTTTTATTGCTTTGATGGTTGGACGTGCTCACAGCCCACCTGGTGTTAAGTGGTAACTGAAGCCCATAGACATCTACGACGTAAGCGTGCCACCCACCTTGAGATGTAAGTTCTAAGGTTTCAAGTATAGTTACAGTTATTTTCGGAGAGCGTGTTAAATAATAATTAATTTCATTCTTTGACTTTTCTATAAAGGATTTTCAGTATTACGCTAAGCCGAGATTGAGTATAATAATAATTAAGTTTACTCAGATAAAAAATAGCATTTGTGCTTGAAATATTCATAGAATTCGAACATACCTCTCAACAATAGCAAAAATAGGTCAGGTATCTTGGCCAAGGCGTGACGAGCCGTGAAGCACACACTGTTTAGCACCGACACGCAGCTGACCGCGCACTCCGGAAACGCAAGATAGTCATCCACCAGTAAGGACATCCTAAAGTTTTGTAAGTCGCTCAGAGACCATTCACAATTTTGCTTCTTACATGTAAACCAAAGAAATAATAGTATTTGTGGTATTTCCTTTGGTTTTCGAGAGTCGTAGACATAACTTTACGGTTTAATCTCAAAGTCATTGAAATAACAAAACTTAACTTCAATAGAGAACATAGTTGATGCTTGTCTAACACCTCAGGATTCTCTAATCGTGACCATGAAAAAAGTCTGTTAGTTCGTTCTGGGTGAAATGCAATAATTGTTGTAATAATTCACCTCAACGTAGCCACGACAACTCGAAGGCCGTCGTACTCCATGAATGTTTCGTGCAGTTGTTGTTGCCGCATGACGAGCGCGAGCTGCTGCAGGGTGGTGCGGCGCAGCGACGGCTCGAGCGCGGGGCGCAGCGGGGGGCGCGCCACGAGCTCGGCGCCGCGCTCGTCCAGCACGATGCCTTGTTTTAAAACGTCCAACATTTGTAATAGGGCGGTCGTCTGTAAATGAAAATTCCAAATCATAATATATTTCGTCGAAGTCGTCGTGGCCTAAAGGATAAGACGTCCGGTGCATTCGTATGTAGCGATGCACCGGTATTCGAATCCCACAGGCGGGTACCAATTTTTGTAATGAAATACGTACTTAACAAATGTTCACGATTGACTTCCACGGTGAATGAATAACATCGTGTAATAAAAATCAAACCCGCAAAATTATAATTTGCGTAATCACTGGTGGTAGGACCTCTTGTGAGTCCGCACGGGTAGGTACCACCACCCCGCCTATTTCTGCCGTGAAGCAGTAATGCGTTTCGGTCTGACGGGTGGGGTAGCCGTTGTAGCTATACGGAGAACTTAAAACTTATATCTCAAGATGGGTGGCGCATTTACGTTGTAGATGTCTATGGGCTCCAGTAACCACTTAACACCAGGTGGACTGTGAGCTCGTCCAACCGTCTAAGCAATAAAAAAACGAGGGCAACGACGTCCCCGTGTGCGGAGTATGCGGTGCACACAAGCGCCAAGACAATAAGGGCGCCGCCACCGAAATTATTTATGTTACACTTACACAACAAAATATTCTTTGTAGTGGAGTATCGTCATGTAAAGAGTTACAATGGGTGTAACGTGTGCCTTGTAAATAACAAAACATATAACTACAAGTTTCCTAAAATTTACGTCAAAACAATAAGTCTAAATTAACAAATAATAAAAAAAAAACATTGAAACATGAAGATTCCAAAAAATAGGGGGCGCTTCATGGGTTTCGCCACAAGTGCCGCTGGGTGTCTGCGCGAGCCTGTTTCAAACCATAATATATAGAGCTTTGCTTTGCTTTATTTTTACTGTATTAGAAGGCAAATGCGCATTGACCCACCCGATAGTGAGTGGTCAGCTATGCTTACGGACATCAGCAATGCCAAGGACATATCTGAGACACTACCTGTCACTTGCATCGAAGAGATTTCATACCTGTATCATCTTTGTGGGTGAACTAGAAGTATCCAAATTGAACTCTTGAGTTTTCACTCTTCTTAATGCGCTTAGTAAAACATCAACTCTTAGAGATTGCTGCGGAGGTAAGTATCTTTCGTCGTCTGAAAAACAAGACCGCTAAGTAGCTGTTCCTGTTCTAAGCAAATAAGCTCATGACCAGTGGTCGGAGTAGGTAGATTGATTTTATATACTTGCGTCAAGATATTAATTATAATATGGACATGCCATTTCATCCATAATTATTATTTTTTTAAATTGAAAAAAATATATTTTTAATCCTCATCGGATACAATTTCTATATTTATGAGATAAACGAACAAAAAGCCCTGTCTAAGTTTTGTCTCATACTGACAAGCTTCATTTCTAATTCAACAGAAAGGGACAAAATACGGTGTAAGTATTCCAATCCGTTTTTGTACAAAATAAAATACTAATTTCTTTCACCATTAGCTAGCATTGGTAGCGTAGATTAATATTATTATTTGTTTTTAACCTTAAAGACAGATTCATGCTAATTTCAAAATTCCGGAACAAATATCACCATAAATATGAAGTTCCGGTTTTTTTGGAGGCATATCCATATTATCCTCTACGTTTGAAGTCAACGACCTTAAATCAATCTACCTACTCCGACCTCTACTCATAACTCATGAATAATATTTACCTAGTAAACGACATAAGGAGTGGGCGGCGTCTAACTGTACCGTAGCGCACCGCACGAATAAAAGCCGCACCAAGCCCGATATCAAGTCCGCGTTCGACACGCCCATGCAATTGGCGATGTCGCGTTCCAGTGACTTGCAAATCGCTCGTCCTGAATACATAAAAACTATGAATTAAAAAAAGCATTTTACTAATGACCATTAACACAGACACAGTATTGTGAGCGCAGTACAGTATTATGAGAACGCCTGGGAAACAGTCATTCCCATTCTAGATGGTGGGACTGCCATAATACAAAAAAACAAAAAAAAAACTTCTAGTTGTGTGACACAATGTTCACCTAGTGATCTTGGTGGGCTTCTGATTATTGAATTTAAAAAAGTAATATAGTATGTGCGTACGTTTTCCGGTAATCATAAAAAAATTACGTCATGTTTACTTTTTCTCGTGTCTGTTATAATTGGTGTCGCCAGTCTATTTGAATTATAAACAAAAACTATAATACCTAACTTCTAGATAAATAGTGCAACATAAGAAACGCGATTGATAACGTTTTATTGCAGTCTAATGATAAGTTCACTTTAACCTTGGTTAATTTATAGGGCGAAGATAATCCGCAATGGAAAGCGTACGCTCCAAGGTGGACTGGAATGAACATACCAAGATGTGTTTCGTGTGCAGCGTATACGTGTAGCAGCGGTAGGACGGGCAACAAGCTGGCCATCAGACGCCACCAGCAACCGTCACTGAGCACCAGCCGCCCTCGCAGCAGATACAGCATAACATCCGTAGCATGTTCCTCTACCTACAAAAATAAAACATCTTGTGTGTTCAGAGCACGGTTAAGGGTTAAGGAACACAGACATCACAATGCCGTCACTCTCCCTGAAATTCATATCTCAAATCTTACATAACCAACGTTTCGATTTCTTATTTAAAGAGACTTTTTGGCGGGAACGCGAGGACTGAAGTTGTGTGATTTGTTTTATTTTGTCTATTTAGTGTTTCTTCAGGTTTAAATGTGTAATAACGGTGGTTTATTAACTGTTTAATATCTGTGAAAGTGCACAAATGTGGGAAAATGAAACAAAGCTGCTGGACGTAACTCCCCAGGATCCTCCAAAAAGTTCACTAAAAAAATCTCAGTAAATGACCACCATTTTACTGAAATTATATTACATCCCATATCATCTCATCTCATTTAATTTAATTTTATCCTAGTTGATTAATGTCTCAAATTAATCATCTTCATTTCATTTTACTCCATATTATAATTTTTCATAAAATAAAGGATATAAATTAAAATACGACATGACTTAAAGGTCTTAGTTACCAGGTCATCAAATCCCTTAAAAAAATCTATTTAAAGAAAACGAAACAAAAATTATAATTTCTTCTTTAAAAAAATTTTCTACTTTTACTGACAAAGAATTCGATAGTTTTCTTACCTCCTTTGATTTAGAAGAAAGACCGTGACAGCATATCTCAGTCAAAACTCCCACATCACATATCAAAGTCAAACTTTTTTCATTAACCGATTGGTTGGTTTCATCGACTAAAATTGATTTCACCATATCCGCCATTCTCTCATAGAATTTGGCACGAACCCACTCCGAATTGTGTGCCATCAATTTCAAAGCTATATTCCTCGCCTTGGACCAATCGTTTTCATCCATAACAAAGTCTTTAGTTTTAATCAATAACACATTTATAACGTCATTTAGAAAAGTCTCGCTTTGAATCAATTCCAAAGTAGGAAGCGCATCTGTTATGACGGTCAGTACTTTGGTTGTATTACGACACGAATTCTTATTCTTCATAAAGTTTACAGCGTGCTCCATGCTGGAGAATAGCATTTTCAACTCTCGGTATTTACTTTTGTATTCTTGGTCTACAGACAGATTCACATTCTGTAATTAAAATGGATTCTTAACTATTTCCGGTCTAGTATTTTGAGTAATATGTCACTAATGCTAACACTTCTTTTGACGGAATATATTTGATTTAATTTCACAATAACAGTAATATATAAAAAGTATTAGGCTATATCTGTACCGGTAGCAGGACATCTAAGTAACCACCGTCCAGTGGTTCAACTGGAAATTTTTGACACATTGTGTTATTGTATTCCGCTATGAAGAACAGGAGATCTGTGCTAAAGACTTTAATCTTCTGTCTTAGATATGGAATAATAAAAATTGCTATATTCGCACAAATATACCCGATAACGTAAATGGCAAAAACTAGTTTTCTGCACAAAAATGTTTTGGCGGGAATTTTTTACTGGTTCACGTATAGCTGCTACCAATCTACTTGAAAATATATTAAAATATACTGCCACTTAAATATGTACTCGCATTTGTGTTACACCAAGTGAAATACTAAAGTGTCAAACATTAAAATGAAAATTTATGTAAATTCGTTCGTTCATTTCCTATTAGTCAAATTTTATAACTGTTTGCACTTGCGTGAGTTTCGAGAATTTTGTTGTATTACCAACATAAAATACCACTGTGACGTGTCAGTATTGACAACAAATCAGCGTTTTCATTTAACGAGTAAAGCATGGCAATTAAACTAATTAATAACGACACATCACCTGCAAAACAATTGATATTCTATTACTCAATTCAGGGTAAAATAAGTCCACCGCTGGATCTAGTTGCGCAGCTTGTACGGCGGATACCAGAGATGAGGGTGGTAAAGCTGAGTTTCTCGCCCAATTAAGAAATCTTTCCCCACAAAATATCAAACGTAACCAAGCAACTCGATAACGCTCCGCTGCTGTGTCATTGAAAAATGATTCTCTGAAAATAGTACTACCCTCAGAAAAAATAAATTAGATTTAGAACTAGAAAAAGATAAGAGTTTAATGTACCTGTACTTCGTAAGTATGTCCCCTAATACGCGCATGACCATACAACTTTTGTGAGAGATATCTCTGTGAGTCTTCGAAGTATGGTCAACAGACCAGAATTTTTCCGTAACACAGTCGAAAAGCAATCCAACAAGGACCTCGATTAATTGCAAGAATGTATTTAGTTCTTTCTGGGAATCAAATTAAAAATAAAAGAAGTATGTACATGTTCTATTTTTGCTGTTGATATTTAATAGACGCTACTTTGTTGTTTTTTTTAATTGAAAATGACTATCGTTTTACGAACACCTCAACCGTGTTTATTACCGCCCTAATGCTGGGAGTTGTCGGTTGTTTCTGTGACGCAGTGTAAATACGTCAGCACCACATTTCATAGGAGGCCATGCCATAGCGATCTCTGGCTTAGTGCCCACGTCGCCACCGCGTAAAAGTGGAGTCTTGACTAGAATCTTTTTTATCTTATTGCAGATATTCCTATGCTTCAATATCCTCTAAAGCGAGAACATTGTTGCTACTTAAAATTAACTAATAAGTCCAGGCAGATAGAGTGAATGAAAATTAATTGCCCTATAGGTTACAAGTGCGATCCACAACTATGATTTTAGTTTTATAGCCATTTAAGGTCGGTTCCATTCAGTTCCAGTCAGTCCCATGTACATTTCGGTCTTATGAGATATGAAAACGGTTAATGTTGTCAGCGTAGTAAATATTTTTATACTGCTGATTGTACATCTAGCAAAGACCGCTACCAAGTTTAAAACTGATGTGTTAATTGTTTTGGAAAACGACCAATAGTCAAACCAGAAGTGATACTTGTTTTGTCACAGAAATAGGTAGTACGCCTGCAAGCAAGTATTGACAGTTTTAGGAGCATAAGTTACGCTTACTGTCACGCCGTCTAGTCTCGTTTCATCAAACCGGCGTCATACAAAACACTTTTTTTTTTCATTTAATGTAATAATATTATTCCGATGTTTTTTATGTACATTTACATTGTTTAATTTTATAATTATGAAATTCTTACCCAGGCAAGAATGTCACTTAATTCATTCTGTTCAAAAAAAGTTAAATTCCTATTCATTGTAGAAAATATACTATGAAGGGATTCTAAAGTAAAAATAGGAGCAGGTAATTGCTTTAAAGCTATGAGTTTATCTTCCTCTAACGACCCAGAAAAGTCATCTCCTGTAATTTGTTCCAGCTCTAAATTAACATCATTCTGCGAGATTTTATCATCGCCTGTAAACTAAAAAAAATATATAATTACACGTTTATCTCATTTTGTAAAATAACAAACTTTTTTTATTACGTTTCGTACTGGGACTCCTTTTAAAATTTTCGCTCTTTCTCGTAGTTTAAGATTTGGCCTTGACGTACTACTTAAAATTTCCTATGCTAAATAGACCATAGCACAAAACCAGAGTTTAAGTAGTTTGGGAGTGGCCAGTAAACAAAACCACTAAAAATACCCACTCTAAGTGTCCCGAGTACAAGGTTTCTAGAATATTTCTAAACTTGACGACATCTAATACTAAGTACCTGGATGCTGTATTTGAGGTCAAAAGACTTTAATTGTAAGAGCCTGGACCGCAATGCAGACGTTATGTGAAATAGTACATGTAGTGCCTCTTCAGAATGAGTTTTATTATTTCCATCAATCATTGACCAAAGATTCTGAAAAAAAAAATATTGACCATTTATGAATTGTTTTCGACCCTAATTAATTGAACTCGCTCTGTACATCTTTATGGTGATAAAACAAAATCCGAATATGTCCGAAATGACTCATTGCAAAGTATATTGTTTAAAAGTAAAAGTAACATTCTTTAAAGTATTGAGTTCTTTAAGCTAATGGTTATAAAAATATTGAATTACAAAGGTCACGTTTATTGAACATACTCTTTAACATACACTTCACACAACACTTCTACTAAGAGTATTAGGAGAACATTAGTCAGTCGATGGTTGAATGCAAATATTTAATTAATTATTTTCTATTTACTACGTTTTTCTGTTTTTTTTTTTTTTTTTCTCAAACTTTTATTTTTGTTTTTGTTTTACGTTTTACTTTAATTATTTAATTCTAGGCGATGCGACGCCCCAATCGTTTGTAGTTATTTAAATGCGGAGACATTTAAATGGTGTTTAGTTGTAAGTTTAGAGTTTATATAGTTTAAGTTCACTGTTTGTCTTCCTAATAAAATAAAATAAAAATAAAAAATAGATATTAATGCTTCATACCTTTATAATTTGAGGACGATTTAAGAATATTTCTGCAGGAAAATCGCGCAAAAATACATCTCGGATAAATCTGCAACATCGTCTGGTAGAACGAAGTAGCCTTAGAGCATCCTCGATTAAAAGAATGGGTCTAATATCTGATTGACTTAGATCAGCCCATGGAAATAGCAGCACTTTTACACCATCATCAGAATTCGAACTAAAAAACGCAGCATTGGAAAAAATAAGTACATAGTTTAATTGTCTAAAATTAAAAACTATGTTTGTACACAGCCATATCAGGCTTCCATTTTGCGACTTACATCAGAACAGTTTGATGATAACATATTCAAAAGTTTTAACAAAAGTACATATTATGTACTTGACAAGAACAATCATGAAATAATTATAAGAATTGGGTAAAAACTGAATTTAAAGATACTATTAAATATTCATATATTCTACAAATACTCGTTGTGGCCTAAAAGATATGACACTCAGTGCATTTGTATAGAGTAATGCGAGTGTGCTGGTGTTTGAATGCAGGTACCAATATTTTTATAATGAAATACAAACTTAACAAAGGTTCATGAGTGACTTCCACAGTGAAGGAATAACCAAGTATAATAATAAAAAGCCCCAAAAATTATAATTTGTAATTACTGGTAGTAGGGCGTCTCGTGAGCGGTACCACCCCTCTATCTATTTCTACTGTAAAGCAATAAAGCGTTTCGGTTTGCAGGATGGGGCAGCTGTTGTATTACTAGAACCTTACTGTGCCACCTTATTTAGTTTAACTATGACTTAAAACTCATGTGTCAAGATGGGTAGCATCATTTATGTTTTTGATGTCTATAGGCTCTAGTAAAAATAATCAAATTTGAATTTGCCAGGATAAGGAGTTGCTTGTTGAACCAAGCAATTTTTAAATTTGTTAGTACATAAAATTAGGGACCAATACACTAGTGTATTTATAACAGCTAATAAACACGACCTCACCTAGGTCATAAATATCATTTATGACAATAAAAAATATTATCTGTATTCATCAAGACCTACTACTATATTTGTGGAAAACTGATCCATATCTGTTCTGTCATTCTTGCGTGATTGAATAACTAATAATATATTAGGTGTGTAAGTACATAGTATAAGTCCACACATTATCCACTTTTTTGTCCTAAACATTCATACATATTAATGAATGACAAAAATCTCAAGAATTAAAACACAACTTCTGGGTAAGAAACAATAAGCTGCAAATAAGAATATTTACCTTTGCCCGTTGACATCTAAACATATGTTTAAAACCGATGATTCTTTTGAACTCTGTGTGCTTGAAGCTAAATTATAGTAACTGCTGCTTGATCTCCCACAACTTTCAGCTCTGAAATTTTTACACAACTATTATTTACCATATAAGATGCAGAAACACATTTTGTAGTCAGTTTCATTGCCAAAAATATAAACAAACTATAATAAAATGAAGTTTATATGAATAAATAAGGACATTACTGAAAACTAAGATTTTTTGTTTGACCTGTTATTTAAAACAGGAATATAATTTGTATTTTACAATAGTTATACTTAAATGACATCATCCATCTTTAGACACGAGTCTTCAAGTCTTATTTTAGCTAGTTAGTTTAGTTTAGCTGCCTGAGATCATTGCCTGAGATCATCATCAACTGGAATGCATTACTGCTTCACGGCAGAAATCATCTGTGTGGTGATATCTAACCTGAACTGAATGAATAGTATCTTAGAAGAAAATAACATCTAGTGATATTAAGAATAAAAGCCTACTTTTGAACAAAATTATAGTAATCTGCACAAGTCGTAAGCTCTCTACAAAAGAGTGGGGAGCCGTCTGCATATCGTACACTTATGGTAATATTAAATGCATCATTAATTTATTACCATCTTTTACAATTGGATTAACTTCGTTCAATTTGGGACATAAAAATGTGTTAGTAATTTTATAATAGTTTTGCCTGGGGTTTGGCTCTTATTACAGTCAGAAATAACCCTATCATTAACTAACTTCTAAAAGGTTATCAATTCATCCTGTTTTTTTGCTGTAGAAGAGTTATGTCGGCAACCTTTTACCACTCAGAATCATTCACAGAAAGTGGTTACCATTCGAAAAATTAGCATGGAATGCATTATAAACAAGAAATTACTATATGGTAATAAAGCACTTCACCTCATTTCTTCAGATAAACTTAGTCTTGGAATATTCAAATTTTCTTCTGAAGACACTGTGTTTAAGAAGGTCAGACTCTCCATAATGTCTTCATAGATATTTAATGCATCCTTATCTATTTTATCTTTAAATTTCTGTATTTTTGTAACCAAATTGTTTAAGCCTATTTCTTGTACGATGTATGTCCCAGATTTTGTCTGAAAAGACACATTTTTAAAAACATAGTCAAGAATTGGCCTTGATAACTACATATGTATTATTGGTGGTACTTACTGGTGGTAGGACCTCTTGTGAGTCCGCACGGGTAGGTACCACTGCCCCGCCTATTTCTGCCGTGAAGCAGTAATGTGTTTCGGTTTGAAGGGTGGGGCAGCCGTTGTGACTATACTGAGACCTTAGAACTATATCTCAAGGTGTGTGGCGCATTTACATTGTAGATGTCTATGGGCTCCAGTAACCACTTAACACCAGGTGGGCTGTGAGCTCGTCCACACATCTAAGCAATAAAAATAAAAAATAAAAAATATTAATTTGTTACCTTTATTACTGAGTGTAGCAAATCTAAAGCTTCTCGCTGTAGAAGCGGTTTCTCGTCATTGAACCATTCCATTAAGGATTCCAATAGAAACCTGGTTCCCGAAATCTCATCATCGAACTCCCATCCCAACTTGAATTTGGATTTTAATGATTGAAGAGAGCGTTCACGAATCTCTTTTATTGGATGTCCTAAAACATTGTTTTATGGGCCTGAACTGATATTCATATAAAATCATTTTAAACGTAACCGGCGTTCCAAATTAGTATTCTTTATATATTCTATAATGGGCACATACTTACTAAGCTTCTGAATGTAATTAATTATAATCTCAGGTTTACTCATGTTCAAGGGTGGAATTATTTTTTTAAGCAAACAATTCAGCGCACTTTTTTTAAATATGAAAATCAAAAACAAACTTGTTTACGTGATTCGATCATAGAGTTTTTTTGTTTGTATAATTTTTCCTTATTAGGAAAGGCAAGGAGATGTAAGCCCATACTGCTCGATCATAGAGTTACTATCCCTGTTTTCCAATTACAGCATAAGAGCGCATTATGCGGCATAATGCTCAACATAATATAAACAAAATTTCGATCAATGCCAACTGAAAGAAAAAACACTTGTAAATTTTCTGTCACTGAGTCGGTATCGATTGCGAGTATCACGCGAGAGCATTACTTTTGAGAGTGCTGGATCGTTGCTGTAGTTGAAACATTCAACGTTGAGCATTAGTCGCATAATGCGTTCTTGTGCTGTAATTGGAAAACTACCGGTGACCGGTGACAGGACCGTCGGGCCGTACGTCGTCGTCCGCGTACAGCACCGCGCTGACTTCAGTCAGCTGTCAGAGCCTACCCGCATCGACTAACGCCCGGTTACGTTTCGCTCTGTTAAATTAAAATTTGTGTGTGTACTATGATACTTTCAAGTGCCTATGACATTTACAAGTTAAGTCTTCATATATGTATACAAATACCGAATAACAACATTTGGACCGTCGTTCTACCAAGCAATATCACCCGCTCGGTGAAAGATCATCCCACGGTCGTTAAACATCTCCAAAAACACATCTCCAAAGAACTATATTATTTCCACATAAAACACGCTTAAAACAGACAAATAGAGCCCAGGTAGCGAGTCACTTGTTATTCAAGTTTAAAAAAATGTATTCACTAAATACAAATACTAAATACATAGTAATAACGATGGTTTATTATTTTTTTAGTATATGTAAATGTGTACAAATCTGCGAAAATTAAACAAAATTCACCGGTTCTTGCAAAAAGTCCACTGAAGAAAATTCAGTAACTACCATTTTAAGCACTTTATTTCACCTGCCTCATCTTACTTCATTTAATTTGCAACTGATTATGAATAAAACTTTTCAAATAAAGAAAATGTAAAACTTAGCTTAAAGGTCCTGTTATCAGGCCTCAAATATTTAAAAATAAATTTAAGATGGGCTCGCTAGAGAGTAGACTTGCGCAAAACATCACTTCCCAATGTAATGTGATATGACATCACTTTTACAGACAGGTGATATTACTCGAAAACATTACACATCACTCTTAACATTACTCGGTGCGTTCAATATATACTGTGACGACGAATACATTGTATCTATACACCCGAATCATTACCTAAGTGATGTGTTGATACACATCACTTAGGTAATGATTCGGGTGTGTCATTACAGTAGTGTATTACAATACAAAGTATGAACTTTGTATTGTAATACACTGTTATATTACTTGACAGAGATTGACTTACTTAATAATATAATAATTTTATTTTTTACTTAATATAATTTATTGTGGGATGAACGGATTTCATATGGCGACTTAGACTGCAAATTGAGCTCGACAATAATGTTAATATACGAGAGCAGTAGATGCATTGTTTCGGCGCGATATCCTCAAAGTGCATCCAAGGAGGACTGTACTTTCATTTAGACGCCGTTATTTCTTTCACTTATTAAACACGCATTAAAACAAATAATAAAACTATCTTCAAACAAGTGCTTAAGTAATTCAAATCAAACACAAAAATTAATATGAAATATTACTAAACAATTACGAGCGACTAGCGATTTTACAAAAGTTGCGAATAAAAAATTAAGTAAGTACTTGCGGGGAGCTACCGGCTGGCCGCATGAAAAATATAAACACAAATACCTATATTAAAATTCAGACGTACCATAGGTATAAAAATGTACCTAGCGGCCAGGACATACGGTTCAAAATCACTAGGAATAATTCCGTGTCGCTTGCTCATTTATTTTGCGTCGATCGGTCTGTCTCGCTCGCTCGGTTCCGTTCATGTATTAAGCAACATTACACGACAAAGAAAGAAACATGTTGGGTGATAGTGTGATGTTTGTTTCCTTCGCGTAATGTGTGATGTTGCATTACATCGTAGAGTAATATTACCCGAGTAATATCACTCGCATTACTTACACATGTCTACTAGAGAGTCTCGCCGAAAATACAATTTAAATTAAATATTATTATATAACATTCGTAAAAAGTATGTAAGCGATTGTAATATATAAAAAAGAAACAATTTGATTTGCTTGATCCTTCCATACACTGTTTTATAACATTATTTCAGATGGCTGATATTAAACAACTGTTGAAGGAGGCAAGGAAGCATATTGATGAAAAAAATTACAAAGATGCTCAAGAGTGCTGTAAAAACCTCCTTAGAAAAGATAAACAAAACTATTTTGGGTTAGTGTTACTAGGTAAATCCTTCCAAGATTCTGACCAGGCGTGTTTAGCATATCAAAAAGCAATTGCATGTAAACCCAGTCACCCCTTAGCTTGGCTAGGATTAGCCAGCTATTATGAAGCCCATGACGATCAAATCATGAATGTTAAACTACTCCCCGTATATGTTGAAATATTAAAATTACAAATTGAAGAGGAGAAAGCTCTCGAAATCATTTCGAAAATCGGAAAGTTAGGAGTTAGATACAAAAATGGTGATGTTGTTGAAACTTTAATAAATTATCTTAAAGAAGAACCACCAACGACTTTACGTAAATCAGCTGAAGAGCAATTGATCTGTCTTATTAATGAAAATATACCTTGTGGAGAACCAATTATACCTGCTCTTTTGGAAATCTTACCTAAACTAATAACCACATCATCCGATCAAAATGAATTATTGCAAAGTAAAATCATACTGCAAAAAACTAATTTTTCTTTAGCAGTGGAGGAAATTATTGAGAAAAGTTATTTCAAAGAAAATATTGTTGTGAGAGAATGGCTTTGCAATCAATTGTGTAAAAAATATGTAGAGAACATGTGTTTTTTTGGTTTGGATATAGAGAAACATATAGAAACCATTATTTCTGGAGTTGTGAACTCCAAATATCCAGATCTTTTGAAGAGTATGATTGCCTTTGAGAAAGGTTTTTATTTAGATGCATACAAATTTTCTGTTCCTCTCATTAATTACCATGAACCAGAATTTACTGAGGGAATTTTTATTATAAAATGTACTATGAAGCTTCAAAAATGGTCTGTAGCTCAAAAACTAGCAACAAATTTTTTAACAAAAGTTAAGGATTCTAGATTTTGCTTAGAATTGAATAAAAATTTATTTTACTCTTTAGTAAAACAACAAAAATGGCAATCTGCACTATTGGTTTCAAAAAATATACAAAAGAATTCACACAGTATTCAAGATTCATTCAATGTTGATGAGCTTGCATCAGTGGTGGAGTGTTTGATTGAAGTAGGTGAACCATTTGATGATTTATTGAATGAATTACAGTCTACAAATTATTATGAATCTTTGAAGGCATTATCTTTTTTAAAACAAGGTAAATTTGATGATGTTGTAAATTTACTTCAAAACAGCAATCTAGAAAATTCAATTAATGTTTTTTATTTGGGTAAGGCATATTGGGAACTTAAAAAATATAATGAAGCACTTTTAAATCTGCTAAAATCTGCAAGATTGAATTCTGAACATTTTGAAACATTTATATATTTAGGACATTTTTACTATCACACCAAAAATGACTTACTTAAGGCAAAAAAGTGTTATGAAAAGGCTTATAGCTTAAATAATCTTGATGGCAACTTACTCAGAAGTTTAAGTGATGTTTATTTAAAACTAAAACTTACTGACATGGATTTTGAAATGTTGACCACAATTTCAAAAACTACAAATGAATCATGGATTCATTTTAGGCTTGGATTACATTACTTAAATAGAAAAGAATGGGAAAATGCTATCATATATTTTAGAAACGTTGTTAAGATCAACCAGAATGATACAACAGCATTTGAATGTTTAGCAGATGCATATTACTGCCGTGGTTCATATACCTCTGCATTGAAAGCATATAATAGGTTATTGACACTAGATCCAAATAAAGCTATCCATTGTCTAACAAGGAGTGGATATATATTTTCACTTTTAACACAGCATGAAGAAGCTATTTGCACTTTTCAGAAAGTTCTTTCAATGGATCCCAATTGTATTTTAGCTGTGAAGGGAATTGCAGAAACATGGATAAGAATATCTAAGAAGAAAATAGCAGCAAAAGTTTTTGGTAGCGCTAGAGATTGTGCCCAGAAAGCTGTTGATTATTTAACAGATGTATTAGAGAAACAAACAAATAAACAATTTACTTGTTTATGGAAACTATTAGGAGACACATTGATTATGGTAACAAAATTACCTATGAAATATGCATATATTTATATGAGTGAACTTTCAAATGAATCTGTTAAAGTTAAAAAGGAGCTCTTGGATATATTTCCAGAAGCAATTAAATGTTATTCATATATTTCTAAACAAAAGCAACAATTTGCTTCTTATGATTTGGCTACCACCTATTTAGCTTATTATAACGTAACTAAGAAAGTTGTGAATTGCCATATAGCTTTTAATTTGACCATGACATGCATTAAAGAAAAACCACAACACTGGCGTAGTTGGAATTTACTGGGAAAAATTGGTTTATATGTTAAGAAATATGAAATTGCACAACATTGTTTCATAAAAGCTTTGTTATCCACAAGAAAATGGTCAGTGGCAAAGATATGGTGCAACCTTGGTACACTGTATTTAAAATTAAAACTTTATAGATTGGCCAATTATTGTTTTTGGCGTGGACAATCTACTTTACCATCATATCCCCATAGTTGGATAGGTCAAGGTTTGATAGCAGAAGTCATAAGGGAAGAGGAAGCAATGGATCTGTTCAGACATGCATCCCGCTTAGGTTACCATTCTGAAAGTGCACTAGCATATGCAGATTGGGTTTGTCGTGTGTTTAACAACAAAAAATATCAGGAAGACCCTGAATATAAATATGAGATTCAAGGTCTTTATGCAGTCACTTGTGCCATGGATCTGATGCAGTGGTTTTGCGACTTTGATTCAAAGAATCCTTGTGCTTTAACAATTCTAGGAATCTTACAAGAACAAAGTTTACTTCTACGAAGTGCTCTAAAATCATATGAGAAAGCTTTACAGTATTGTGAAGGAGATAAAAAGAACATAGCACTTCTAAATATGGGAAGGATTTTGACAAGAATGGGAAATTATGATGATGCTATCAATGCCTATAAATCAATTACAGAAGCTAGTCTAAATTCTACAACTGGTTTAGCTTTAGCTTTATTCAAGAAGGGATTTTTTGAAGAGGCCTATTCTGCATATGAGACTGCTTTACAATGGCTCAGTGAAACCGATGAAGATAAGGCAGATCTCCTTGTGGCTATGGCTAGTTCTGTATATACACAGAAAGGAGTAAATGACACAAAAACGCTACTCTTTCGGAGTATACAAGCTTCCCAGAAAAAACCCACGGCTCACAGTNCTTTAGCTTTATTCAAGAAGGGATTTTTTGAAGAGGCCTATTCTGCATATGAGACTGCTTTACAATGGCTCAGTGAAACCGATGAAGATAAGGCAGATCTCCTTGTGGCTATGGCTAGTTCTGTATATACACAGAAAGGAGTAAATGACACAAAAACGCTACTCTTTCGGAGTATACAAGCTTCCCAGAAAAAACCCACGGCTCACAGTTTGTTTGCAGTTTGCTCTTTAGGACTTTTACATGCAGATAAAAGTTTATCCAAATTAGCAATATGTGAAATGCAGAAGTATGATAAGGATGACGAATTTGTTTTCGATATTGGTTTCCTAAAATCGTACTTGCATGTATATGACGAAAATATGAACCAAGCAACCAAATTTCTGAGCGATTCTCTGCATGATTTTCCAAGTAATGCTCTATTGTGGTTTTGCATGGCACAGTATTGTCTTATGGAGACAAATCTTAAGGCCAAAGTTTCTAGCCGATGTGCGCAAAGGGCATTGAGTTTAGCTCAAAATAATGAAAGCAATATTAATCTTGCTAAATTAATAGCCACAGCAAGCGTAGCTGAATTTATAGCAGGAGATCGTGTAAGAGCTTTTATATTAGCAAAACAAGGTTTACATTTATTTCCATGTCAACCAGAAATATGGGCTGCAGTATTACGTTCCCTTGTATCCCATAAAATATGGTTAGTTAAAAAACCATGTATTATGAGAATAACAGATTTTATGCGTAAAAATTTAAATATATCGCGTCGTCTTGCTAAGTGGATCACTCTGGTAGAAAAAAAATTAAGTAGGTAGGTAGTGTTTAAAAAATATTTAAAAGACCGTTCTCGCTTTATTTATATTTTAAAGGATAATTTATTTTTATAATAACATAAAAGTATGGTTGCCTTATATAATGTTGCCAAAAAACTTGGTGTAAACTCATTTAAATGAATTTTAAAGTTTGTGTAATTAAGATTGTAATTTGCTTTTACATTTATATATAAACATTTTATACTGAAGTTGCGATCACACTACTTGCATATTTTTAATTTTAAGCAGAATATACTTATTAAAATTGTCTTTTAAATAACATTGTAATTTATTAAATAAATCGGAATTTAATTAGTTTTCGTTTTATCAGCAATCCTTCTAAACACTGCTAGAAATTTCTCTCCATTATTCCTAGTTACTTTTTGACCTTCTTCAGTACTCTCATAAAGTTTTTCTATTATCGGATCTTCTTTCTGAAATAAATTATAAAAGCATAATTACATTAATATATATCCTATCTTGAATCGGTCGAAGTGAGAACTGACAATATACGAGGTTTGGTACTAGAGATCCTGCTTACCCAATACAAGCCCTGATAAGTCACAGCTCGGTGATTACAGTGAATTAAAGCTAGCAGAGATAGCTAATTCTGCTTTGGTGATATCTATACTAATATTATAAAGAGGAAAGATTTGTTTGTTTGTTTGTTTCGAATAGGCTCCGAAACTACTGGACCGATTTGAAAAATTCTTTTTCCATTAGCTACATTGTCCCTGATGAACATTATTTTATTTTTTTGGTTTCATGTGTGTTTTAATGTTTCCGAAGCGAAGCGAGGGCGCGCGGGCGGGTCGCTATATGGTAATAAAGTACTAACATGAGTTCATTGTTTGAAACTCTCACTGAGACTTGATTTTACTGAATTCTGTTTGTCAAGTGACAAGCAATTCAAGTCCAAAGGAACTTCCGGTTAATGTGGTGCTGAATGGAGACGTCGACCTCATGTATCAAGGCAACATTTACGCTGTGATATCCTTTGCCCCTTTAACATGAGGTATACTGTGAGTTCACTCATCCATATAAGTAATGAATGGTCACCCAAGGGCATGTGAAATGTGAGTGGGGCAAGTAGGTACATCGAAGTAACAAAACAAAAAAAAACAAGTTACAATGTGTTGGTAATAAGGTGACAAAGATCAATACTTGTAACATTTGATCTTAAATTTATCATAAAAATGCATTATAGTTTTTAATTCAGTAATCAATACTGCTATGTAAAGAAAAGCAACAATAATTCTACATTCCAAATTATATGTATTATATTATATTAGATATATATGTATTATAGATATTTCTGTGAAATATTTTAGAGTGAACTGTAGTCTAAAAATTGTAGCTTGGATAAACTAAGAAATACAAAAAAAAATTTACATGAATCCTTGTTTGAAAAAAAAAAAAAGAGTAGATACGACCTTTTGGTTTTCAGAAACACTAAAAGAGTAATGAAGATTTAAGTACATAAACAAAAATCAGTTTACCAATTCTTCTTCAGGAACACTTTCAAATAATGGATGTTCCTCAAAATGTGCAACCATCCATTCATTCAAATCCTTTACATCAGTAATTGTGTATACAATACCCTGTTAAATAAAATGGATTACTTATTACATTTTAAAGTTATCGCGGCCCAAAGATAAGACCCTCCTTTACATTCGTGTTGAGGGATGCGATTGTGCCGATGTTCGAATTCCGGTATGGTTGTATCAAGTAATGTGACGATATCAGTGTTCAAATTCTGTTTTGCATGCTGAAGCAATAACTTTATAAACTAAATATCAAAATTGGAGGCTCTTATGATTACTAGAAAGTAGAACATGCTATGAGCATGTTAATTATTAATTAATTAATTGTTAATTGGCAATTAAGACTGCTATACATGCTTGATGTCACAAGGTGGGTTGGTGGCATCCCATTTTGGTGTCTATCTCATAGCCGTTAAAGACTACATTATCTACAACAATAAATAATATGTTTTCTTATGAAAACCAAATCTGTTTATGGTTAGAAGACATGGGCATACAATAAGTATTCTTATGGTATGGCTACCAATAATTTATCTGCAGTAACAGTATCCTATCTATTATATGAAGGAAGGACACAGGAAGGCATGAAGGGTAAGACACATCAAACAAATGCAATTGAAACTTTAAACCTGGTCTCATAGTGCTCAGCACCCTTTATATTTAGCTAGCTTTATATTTAGGTTTGATGGCTTGTGTACATATTCTGATTTCAACTTAAATATTGAATATTACATAGAAGTTTAAGTCATACCTGTTCACACAGTACGTAAGCATATTCAGAAAGGAGCCATTTGTTAATTATCCTCCATTTATGTTTTGCTTTCTTGAAATGTGGATCTGGATATAAGAAAAACATTTTTTTTAGCTAAAAAAAATAAAGATATAAATTAAATAACAAATTATTAATTAATTGGTCAATAATTTAAGATATTATGTGTGATTGACTTCATACTATCATACCATAAAATTGACAAGTATGAATGCATTTTTAAGATAGGTAGTTAATATGACAACAAAATCTTTATTCACAAGCAACATTACATAACCTGACTATTAATGTTTACTGAACAATAATAATGTACATAAATTGGAATGAAAAATCAACTCACAGACTAAATGCTGATGCATTACATCGAAGGTACAGTTAAATAGCAACTATCTATGCTCAGCATGATAAACTAAACTTGCTTTTAAGTGAATGTTACTGTATATATTATAAATCTGTATAATAATTTATTCTGGTGTCAGCATAGTCAGCATGATATATGGTCTTTAACAGCCCTTAATATCAGAAGAGTTAAAATATATAAAAAGAAATATATGTTACCTGGCCTTTATGAAAAAAGTTAGGAAGATATTTCATGGCATTTGTCCTTAACACAGCTACATTTTGATATTGATCAGGATACTGTACCCTGAGTGCTTTTATCCTATCATTTACATAGTCAGATACTTTAACTCTTATTTCCAAACCCAACATCAAGTTACTGGGAAACATTGGAGACAATGCAACTGGAAAAAGAATGAAAAGTTGTAACTTTCAAAAACTACATGCACCTTTTAGTAGCAAAGAAATACAAATGTAAAGAAAAATAAACAAGCATCTTCCTGTTCAGAGTTTTTTGCTGGCTCATATAAAAGACAGTTTAATATTAATTAAACTAATAACAATCCACTTTTATGAACTTTATTATCATACTAAACTAACTGTACCCTACTGCTTCGCTGGGCATTTAAAATTAACATTATTATTTCTCACCCCCACAAACATTCTCATCATTAACGCCCCTGCACCTGTGTGGGGAGTCCTACACTCATATAAATATTAGCCTATCCATTAAGTACATGTATTTTCTACATGGATACCAAGTTTCAAGTTTCAATCGGATGCATGATTCAATAGTTATAATGGAACATTCATAAAAACCACTATAGATTTATATATTAGTATAGATTGATTTGATGATTCACTGGTATGTAAAATCACAAACTAGCAATCTGATATAGTGTTCACGAGATCATATCATTTACTGTAATAATAACTATAATATATGTTAATCCAGGCAATCCTGCTCTTATAATCTATCGAATGTGATTAATCATCTGATTCCATTTAGCCATTTTTATGTGATTGGGTAACAAAACTGCAAAATTTCACATTTATAACACTTTCATTTCACATTTTTATCTTCTACGCACTTGGAGTTTATTACATTTGATGTCATATGTTAATGTTATACATACCCAAAAGTCCTCCATAACCACAACCAACATCTAAAAACTCCACCTGATTTGGTTTTTCTGCTATAATTGGATATAAGGGAGTCCAGTCATAATCATCAGGATGAGATGGACTAAAAAAAAATACTATAAATCTGTTCAATAAGAATAGAATTCATCAGTCGAAAGTTTGAAGTTTTTGGATTTCATACACCGATTGCATGATCACTAATCTTCAAAATGAAGAATGAAATCTTGGCAAAATTGCTGGTTTCCTTTGATGTTATTATTTATTGTCATTTTATGAGTTTAAAATAAATCTTAGACATTGTGGTCTAAAAGATAAGACACCCAGTACATTGTATGCTAGGAGAGAGATGCAACGGAGCTCAAATCCCAGACATATACCAATTTCACTAATAAAATTTGTACCTAACAAATGTTCATGATTGACTGCAACAATTAAGGAATAACCTCATGAAATAAAAATCAAACCTGCAAACATTATAATTTACGTAATTACTGGTGGTAGGACATCTTGTGAGTCCACACGGGTAGACACCACAACCATGTCTATTTTTGCCGTGAAGCTTTAATGTGTTTCGGTTTGAAGGGTGGGGCAGCCGTTGTACTATAAAAGCTGAGACCTTAAAGTGGGTGGCGGAATTTACGTCGTAGGTGTCTCTGGGCTTGAGTAACCACTTAACACCACGTAGGCCATGAGGTCGTCCACCATCTAAGGAAGAAATAAATAAATATAGTTCTTGACAAAATTATCATTTCAAGGCAATCTTCTCGACAGCTCGCACATTTCCTTTTTCGTTTTGGTCATTTAATTTCAATGTTTTTAGAAATTAAGAAGCTACAAGTGAGTTGTATTGAGTGTGTGAGTACTATTTCTCATTTAAAATTTGTTTACCTGAGTGATGTATGAAAGTTTTACGCTCTTATATATTCAATTTATACTTACTAATCAAAACAATGATCTGCGATAGGGTTAGAATGCGCACGTTGTCTATAATATTTCTTTTGCGGCAAAGCCATTGTTACTAAATATTCTGAAAACGATAGGGCTTGCAATATGCTTTGACCGATATGTTAACAGATTATATTTCGTAAATAATTCATTCAGAACTGTTGAGTTTCCTGAATATAGTATTTCATAAAAGCAAATAACATTTAAAAATACAAACAACAATCTTACACTGACAGTGCCCAGTGGTGACAATTTATTAGTATAATAACCGGCAAACTTCTTGAGCATTTGTTGACGTAGTGGGGGTAAGTTTGCGCATGGTACACTCACGTGCAAAAACATTACTTACTCTGCGTCATAATGCTATTAAATTATTAAAATCAACATATGTATTTATTTATATATTTATTAGAACATCAACAAAACATATAGGTTAATAATTGTAATAATTTAATNATATTGAAGTTATGTTCTACGACCTACGTGTTACAGTCGATAATTGAATGAATTAAAATGTTTTGCTTAGGATTTTGACCTTGACCATGCATCATTCTTACGAGCACTTAACCTTAAGTGTTGTAGACCATTTCTTAGAAAATCATAATAAAAAATTAGAGAATTTTAAAACATTCACCACTTTCGCTAGTTTTGTTAGCTACATTACGTAATGAAAATAAAATATATTGTTATCTTGGTTATGGGAAAAAGGTTGTAAAGCTAAAACGAGCTCAATATGTTGTATATCAGAATAACGTGGTATTTTAATTGACAATTGATAGGTTATAGTTTCCGGTGCATCGTACAATACATTGAAAAATAATGAAAGTAGTAGATTAATTGAAATTATGACAAAGTGGAATAGTACATTAATAAATTATGAAACAAACTAACAATGAACCTAAAATTAAAAACCTTACAAAATAATAATTATAGTAATAATTGCCATCAGCGGCAATTTATTTTTATAGTGTTTTTAAAAAATTGTATTATAATACCTTTTTTGAAAAATATTGTGTAATTAATGATAATTTAATACGTGATTCGCTACACTACAAACAGCTACTAGACTTAACATGTCCGCGGAACTAAACGGCTACAAACAGCTACCAGACTTAATATGTCCGCGGAACTGAGCAGCTACAAACAGCTACTAGACTTAACATGTCCGCGAAACTAAACAGTTCCGCGGACATGTTTACTGGAACTAGTTCCGACACTCTAAAGAACGATGTCATGTTCAATCCTTTTCCGAACATGATTAGCGCACGTCTAATCCAAATAAAAAAGGCAAAGGTAAAGGCAAAGATATCACACCATACAGCCTAATCTTTTGATCTTTTGATCAAATATGATATTATGAAATGAAGTGAAACTGATTAATTTTATATGAAACATGGCATGGCATGACATTAAATGAATTGAAATGAGATGATATGATATTGGATATTTTTATGAAAAATGATAATAGGGAGTGAAATGAAATGAAGAATTTGAGACATTAATCAACTGGGATGAAATTAAATGAAATGAGATGATGATATGTGATGAAATATAATCTCAGTAAAATGGTGGTCGTTCACTGAGATTTTTTCAGTGGACTATTTGGAGGATCCCGGGAAGGTGACAATGTACTTTGACATCTTAGACTTTTTGTTTCAATATATATGGGCAAAAAACTTAATTTTATAATTCCAAATCTTTAAAAACAGGCTTAAACTGTTTTAGTTGCAAAAAAGAGAAATAAAACAAAATTAAACAAAGTTAATTGAAATGAAACGAAAATGAGCTCAAGCTAAGACAACATTGCAGATGGAGGATGCGGAGAGGTAATGAAATAGTTTCACAGTAAGGAGGTGGGAAATTACTAAGATATCAGTGTACTTTTTAGAATAGCTCGAAAAACCACGTCCAGTAATTTTGTTTCGTTTTAACACAAAAGTTAAGTTAATAAGCCACTATTATAATTACACGTGTTGGAGTTTGTATATTAAATGTAATGGCAGGCAACACTTGACACTTGATTAGATTTCGAATATTGGAATTATTTTAAATGTTTTAAAAAACAGATCATTGTATTCTCGTAAGAAAATGTTAGAACTTCTCATCTAGACACGGCATGAAAAACATGTAATAGTTTTATAAAAAATATAAAGATAAAAATTGTATAATGGTGTAAAAGTGTTAAAGCTATCTGCAATATAATTATAATGAAGCAGTTGTGTTTTTAAATAGCCCCTCATCAACCTAAAGAACCCAATCCTCAAATTTAACCATCCAACAACACGCTTAAGCCTGAAGAAACACTACATAATTTACAAAATATATAAATTCACTCAACTTCACATCTTGAGTTGCGAATCTGAGAAACAATACAAATGTTAAAAGCTGTCAATGTCAATGTCAATAGTGTTGTCAAATGTCGAGGGTCAGTGCAAACCATAATGTTTAAAGAAAAATAAAAAAAATGAAAATTTTGAATTTTAATAAATTACAGGTTACAATTAGGTACATACGCTGTGTCTAAAAGTTTTAAGAAAGAAAATTCAATGAACGCGTGTTCTTGAATAGTGTATGAACTTGTTTATATTCAAATTATGTAGTGTGTTATAATCGAACAGGCATTACTTGTATTTATCCAAGGTAAGCATACATTCTTTTTACACAATACTATGTATTTAGTATTGTATTTATAGATATAGTACAAAGGGTCATAGTATAAACTGCAAAACGATTGCTTAACAACATTCAAAAACTTGTCGACGATAACCAAATAGAAATCTCAACTTTAACGGGTGCTTCTATTGTTTACTTCAATTATGTATAAATGCGTTTTGTTTCAAAATAATCTCGTTTTTTTGTTGTTTATTAATGAAAAATATTTATTTACATAAAATATTGTTAATTAAATTAATCGAAAACTAATTTTCTTACCGTTTAGTGTGTAGATAAAATTCCAGTTAATAAAACAGCATAATTGAATTGAATAGAAACATAACCGATGCGCAAAATTATTTTGCTTTAGCAACTACAGGACTTCTTTTTAAATGAATGTCATTCCAATAAATTTCCTCATTGCTTGAATTTTCAACAAACCATAGCTTTAAATTATAAAGTATTGGTATTTTTGTGATTTCAAAAGACAAAAATGTTTGTATCTTAATATTATTTATTTATTTATATAATTATTAAATAGAATATTGTATCTATTTTGTTATCTTTAAAATTTTGTGACTTTTGAGACAGGACATTAAAGTTTAAAGGGTTGTCATTTATAAAATAATTTATAAAACTCATATAAAACAAAACAAAAAACTCCACTTCAAATTCATAGATTTTGTAAATTCTTGCCCTGGTTACTTTACAATTCTTCTTAGTTTTGTTACTGATTGAATTGTCAAGATAACCCATAACCATATTCTTAATATATAGTTATGATGCCTATAACTTAAGAAAAAAAAAATTTTTTTAAGCATTAAGATTACATTAACATTCTTTTAGCTAAAAGAATGTTAATGTTTCATATAACTGTCTGTATATCTTTGAATTTTTCGTTCATGGATATAAATTATTATAAGTCCATAAATTACACCTTCAAGACATAATTTTTTTATAAATCTTGATGTGTACCTTATACCCACTAAATTGTTTACCAGATCTTTTAGATATTACTTGAGACATGGAGTCTAACTTGAATTGCTTCTTTTTTCTCACTTTTCTATTTTTCATTGGAGCTTTAGTTGCTTCAGACTTAAATGTATACCTTGTTAATGCAGAAATAAGCAGCAAGGTGGCACTTATATGTTTAGGCTCACAATAGGCCATAATAGTTCACTTAATAATTCATATAATAAAACGACCCAGGAACATGATGGTTAAAAGAACAATATCTATATCTATTTTTATTTTGAGCAAAATTAATGAAGAGATATAAAATAAATTTAAAATATTTTCAAAGTTATGTTATAGATTATTTTTCTTTGAAATTGGTGACAATATGCATGTTATCATAAATACTATATTGAATTACTTTTTTAAAAAAATATTAGTATTTTCAAGTATAAGACAGTTATTATTTTTATAAAAATAAGGATGGATAAAACCTGGTTTGATGATCTACCAGACTTATTAATTACACTACCTACTATTTGTTTTCAACCACCTTCCACAACAGATTCTCTCTTTAATAGAAAATAATGAAATGATTATTTCTCAAAAACTGGCTTAACGAATTTCAGTGTGTAACTAGTATCTACCATAGAAATCATAATTTAATCGAAAATTAAAAATTACTTCATTAAAAATTAAAGGTTAATTTAAATTTCATAATTTATGCATAAAAATAATTTCCAGAAATACACTTACATTCCATTGAAAACATTGTATCAAGAGACTAGTAAGGCAACAGTAGATTATATACATAATCAATGATAATCCGTCACAGAACCTGAAGTCTTCAAAGAAAATGTGTTTTGTTTTCATTCTGTTCATGTTCCTAAAAAACAAATATAAGTGGTCAATGATTAACTGCCATCATTCCATATCATGCCATTACATTTTAAAAAATCAGTAGGGCACCAATATACAATGATTTTGGTATTAAATATTACTCAAAATTATTACATAAGGCTTCAAAAGTCGAACTGTTTAGGTTTGAAGTAGGCGAATATGTTATGATATCGGATCGTTGCCCACGTGCACTCACACCGCAGTCAGCCGCCGGCGTCGTCCGTGTCGCACGTTCATGCCTCGCAATACGACCTCCGTTTAGTACAAGATATCTTGCGAAATGTTAACCGTACTGAAGCTTTCTCTTGCACCCGTACTTATTCTATAAAGTTATTAGTTTTGTTCGTGCTGTGTGATTTGCGGCAACATGAAGAACGAAGATTCCCCGTCAGACTTACGAGGGTCGAGGCCGTCGCGACAACTCATGGGCAGCGTGTCGTCTGATGAAGGCCCCGAAACTGAACGCCTTCTGAGCAACGAATTAAAATCAACAATTGTATCAGCTGGTTCTCGACGGCGTGAATCCCTCACAGCACCGCCTTCTCCCACGGACTCTCGGAAAAAACGTGACCCGCAACATCGTCAGCATAACTACATCAATCACTTACAAAATTTCATCCACTGGCGTGATATTTGGAGTGGAGAGACACAAAAAGCACAAGAGGTATATATATAATAATACCAGCGTTAAAATTTTATTTGTGTATACTTTACAACATTAATTCTTC